AAAATGGTGATATTGTAAAATCCTAATTCACGATTAGCAACGATGACAATTACAACTTGTTTTCAAATTTGCCTGCGTACAATTAGACAATGTATCATTAATTTATGGATGCAAGCACAAAAGACAATGAAAAAATCGATCTTATCAAAAATGACACGTACAGTATAGTCATAGAAAAATGAATTAATATTGCAGTTAAATTTTTGTTAAATCTATTATAAATATTACTATGACCGAAACGTGTCAATCTGTGATTCAATCTATTTTGAGTATTTTTTTTTATTGCCCTTGTAGGTATACGGCCCACCTGATGGTGAGTGATTACCGTCGCCCATGGACCGCAGCAATGCCAGGGGCAGAGCCAAGCCGCTGCCTACCGCTGAAAGTCTTTTCCAATAATCAAGAAGTCCTAGACTTTAATTAAATATTCTAATTATTATTTTTTGTCAGAATACGCAGAAGAATCAAAAACACCACTTCCCCCGTAATTTATCATATCATATAGCAAGAAACGAGATGAAGCTGATTTCATTTTTTTCATAAGCAACCGATTTTGACTGATTCGGTGGTGCAGTAGTTGCGCCACGAGCTGTTGCGCCGAGCGTTGTGGGTTCGATTCCCACATCGGACAAACATTCGTGTGATGAGCAGGTTTGTTTGCTCTTTGTCTGTGTTATAATATATATTAACATATTTACATTTATTTATGTAAGTATATGATACAGAATGTATGCCACGACCGGGACTTATGGCAGGATTTGGGGGAGGCCTATGCGAAAACAAAACAATCTTTGCCGGTGTCATCAAATGTGTCAAAAATTTACATTAATAGTATGTACCGAAATATGAAATTAAGGTTTATTAATAAAGGCTTCTTTATCTTATGGTGTAGAGTATCTTAATTTAGGGCCGGATGACCGTGCGCGACTTGATCCCGGGATCATATTTACTGTAGAGAAGGGTGGAACACACTTATTTATTATTTAGAAGAAAAAAAAAACAGAATTTTTGATACTGCATATAATGCATAGTCGTTTTTAGAAACTATTTTATTTAATTTGTTGCTAAGCAATTATCATTCACACGGACACGTCAAAGAACGGGATATGTACGAGTGGATTTAAATCGACACATCCGCTGTTTTAATTCATTCGTAATCGAACAGTCCCCCCACGCAGAGCAGATACAGATAACAACGTATTTGTTTTTGAATACTATTGTAAAAAAGTCGGAGCGATTCGCGGGTCATCTGTGTGCTTAGTGCGAGTTTTTTAACGTTCTCGATAGCGTAAAGCTTGTATTTCCAATCAAATCAAATAAATAAAAATAAAAAAATTCAACATAAATGAAAGTACATACTTGTTGAACGTCAAAAGAACTACCGCCAATTCACAAAAAGTAGCCTCCATCCTGAGAAGAATTGGCAAGAAACAGCGGGCATGTCTTTTTTTTTAATATTAGATAAAAAAAAAAAATTCAATTAAATTAATTTAATTTAATTGAATTTATTTCTTTGTTTGAAATTCAAGCGTTTGCCTACGTTTGCCGATAGGGGCACTGTTCCAAATGCATACAAATTTGAGTTAACTTTTACGCTATCGATAAAGTTAAAAAACTCGCACTAAGCAAACTGGTGTTAAATCAAACTGTGTCAAGTTGCGAAAATATAATGTTAAATTATATTGTTCGCATTTTCACCTGAGTTATGTCATGCCTTTAATGGTCCTTTTCGAATGGATGTGTCCGTGGACCAAGTACTGGTATTATAGGGTGACGTGCCGGAGATCTATTTCGGAGGATATTTGTAAATAAATAATGATGTACTATGCAATAAATTTTAATATTCATGTCATTTGAAGAACAAAAGTCGTTCTGATTTAAAGGCTGTTATTATTATAACGCGATTGAGACTTCATTGCCTTATGTCTCAAGATGGTGATATTTCCACAATAAAAATTCCCGGTTTTGTTAGAACTACACATATATATAAATCGTAAATTATTGCACTACCTAAGAAATGAATGCATGTAGCGTTTAAACTTTGAATTAGCTTGTCGAATTGATTAATTTCCGCATGATCGAATAACTATTATAACGGCTCAAACAGAAATGAAAAAAATTACAGTTTTAACGTTACAAAGAATTAATGCCCACGCAACAACGTACGTACGTGTTGGCTACAATGCTTTGATATTTACATTGAAAAAAAAAACCGAAAGGGCATCGCTATGCAAGAAAGTGATGGTTGCTATATCGCTATATCATCATAACCATTTACCTAACTTTAAATAAACTGGATCACAATGAAGCCTTCTACACAGATTAAGGACAGGTGGAGCGCTAATTCTTGGACCTTCGAGTAGGCGCCTAGAGATAATATTAAATTTATTTCGCACTAAGTGATTTGCCTTACGAACGTTTCTTTGCTCTAGACTACTCTAGAGGCTGTCTGCTCCCTAGATTGAGTTGTTACAACAATACATCTTTATCTCCCATTGTTAGACTTGCCATCGCAGAGGGCAGGGTGATAAGAGATATACAATTTTTTATGTATTTCTGGGATAGTTTAATCTAGAGTTTAATACTATGATGCTCTTATAACCCTAACTTTAAGCAGTAGTAGATGGATTACCCTCCCCCAACTACAAAACCCCTCAAAAGAATCACTAGAGGCTGGACAAGAACATAAGACTTCATGGTTGCTGTTTTGCCTCTGTTATGTTTATAACTTGCAGCTGTGTGACACATACAAACTTCTACCACTAATATAGGACATATCAGATATCAATTCTTAAAATTATTGATCAAAAATACTTTTAAAAATCAGGATATACTTAAAACTACATTCATTCTGATTCAACTATTCTAATAGTGATTTGTTTACAGTGGCATGACATTAAATGATATATTTTGGTATTAAAAGATCATTAATATTGTAATTAATCAAATGATGTTACAAAAGATTGTTAGTTTATTGTTAAGTTACAGTGTTCGTTATAAATATCTTGTATGATAATCTATTACAACATTTGTAACAAAATCTCTTTAGGGTAAAAGTGCAGTGTTTAAGATCATCTTGAGCACTGTAGTAGTATATTTGATGGTCATAAAAGTTAGCCTTCAGTTTGAAATTGGTATATCAAATTTTTATATTTGAATTTGTCATATACAGCCCACCTGGTGTTAAGTGGTTACTGGAGCCCATAGACATCCACAACGTAAATACGCCACCCACCTTGAGATATAAGTTCTAAGGTCTCAGTATAGTTACAACGGCTGCCCCACCCTTCAAACCGAAACGCATTACTGCTTCACGGCAGAAATAGGCAGAGCAGTGGTACCCACCCGCGCGGACTCACAAGAGGTCCCACCACCAGTAATTACGCAAATTATAATTTTGCGGGTTTGATTTTTATTACATTATTCCTTCACCATGGAAGTCAATCGTGAACATTTGTTGAGTACGTATTTCATTAGAAAAATTGGTACCCGCCTGAGATCCGAACATCAACACACTCAACACAAGTGCACTGGACGTCTTATCCGTTAGGCCACGACGACTAAAGTATTGCTTCATAAAGACTTGCAATACGAAGTATTGTAATCCCATTAGGATAGCTGTCAACATTTTGTCTATTTAACATGCAAAATAATGCTTATAGGCCTAGCACATGTTCATGTATGTATCCAATAAATAACCAAAAACCAAGGTAGGCCCCTTGATGTAAAATAATCAAAAGATGATAGATATTTAGGATTTATTGATAATTAATAGTTAATCACCTTTAAAAAAATAATACATGTAACCATCCTATAACAGAGTAGATACATTCTTACAAAATCCCGTATTGTGCCAAACCATGTTAAATGAGACTTGAAACCAGAACAAAAGGGGAGTAATTTTTCTAAATGAAGCATCTCAACTATGTAATGTAACTAACCTATTATATATTTTAAATTAGCTAAATTTCAGTTATTCCCATATATTGTGTTCAAAGTGCATAATGTAATTTTCTTAATAATTTTAAACAAAACCCTCATTATTGTTTTGTAAATATACTATATTTTAGTATGATGGTTTTGAGGAATTTTTCTTTTGGTGTTTGAGTGGAACAGTGTTACAAAATACTGTGTTATAAGAGGATTACGTCTACAATGTATATCATACAAAATTATAACTTAAGATTTTCATGATTTCATGTTATAACGAGTTGAAAACACTTAGAACTTTCTCTCTTTACCAAATATCACTTTACCTTTCTTGCCAGACTATCCCAGTGACTAATTTTTTGGTGTAAATTATTAATTTATTTTGTGCAATCTGCACATAACTAACGTTGCTGCCCAAAGTTAGTCAAAGATAGTTGTGGTGTTAATTGTAGTAACAAATTTGATTCTGGATAAGTGCTCTAAAGTTAAAATAACCCATAAAAGCTCCAAACACTAATTACTGTATCATAAAACATATTAGTTTCTTTGTTTTTGATTTCTTTAATTCGCTTATTAAATTTGAACCATACTTCTTGCCATCTATGAACTTTTTATTCATAACTTTAAATCTAATTGGATCTTCTTTACATACTTATTTTTACCATACTAGGTAATTAATTGATACGTCAATTTTAGACTTATATGATGTATTCGGTTTATAGATAAGGATTTGTTGAAAATAGTTTTTTTTTAATACTGAATTTGATTATATTTTTAATTAAATTTGATTTCTCTATAACTTTTAAGAAATAATCGTTCATATATTTCATAGACATTCGCATTTTACGTATTTCTATCAATGATGACAGTTAAACATAGGTGTGGTGACACTTTACACTAATGATAAACCTTCGGTGCTTACCACTACGCCCTAGAGGTCTTACAATGCGAAACAATTAACTTGTAAAAAATTTACAATCTAATACATGGGAAATATGCAATAAACATATCCCTTACTAATATACTAACGAAACAATTTTAAGATACAAAATCAAATAATAAAGAAGTACCTACTCACCCTCTCCACCCAAGGAAGTCAACAATTTATCTTTACTTTGGTGTTAACTTTGAACACTACAACTGTCACGTTTTTCCAGGTCACATTAAACGGGTACACTATTCTTAACAAACGTTTTACAATGATAACAAACTCAAGATATTACGAGAATTACACATTAGGACCGCCGCTTACTGTGCCACAAAACGAAAATGGCAGGCAGCGTTAAAATCAATGTTGCCATATCTACAACTGGGCTGCCAAGCCAATCTCATATTATACACTGAATATATGCCAATCTGCCAGTGGAGGTATACTAAAAGATATTCTTACGACAAAATAAGTTATCAACTGTCTTTATTTATGGCATAATAATATACAGAAATAAAAAATCTATTATCTTGACCTGAAAGTAGGATAAATTCTTGTTTTGTGTTCACTAGAATAATATTATGTTGTTTGAATATCAATGAATATGTGCAAAGCAATGATTAAAAAAAAATACACTTCACTTTCGCATTTATTAATTGATTTTTTTTATTTTGTATGAAATGGTATTCTTTTTTTTAATGGCGCATAACTGTTACTAACAGTTTTCAAAAAAATCTAAATGACTATAATCATTTGCTTTCATTAGACCTTGGATCTACCTGATAGAAATGCTAAGCCATTCTTTAATTAATTTATTGTATAGATGCGTGAAAAAGATCATGGCCAATAACCTGAAACTCCATACAATTTTTCATTTTACTACAACTTAGCATTATATATTACCAACACTGAAAAAAATATTTCAGGTTTACTGTCTACATCCTAACCTACAAGTCATCAAACATGAGCAGGAATTTAAGTATTTATTACAGCCACACAGAGAAATATTTTGTGTATTTATTTGTAAGAGAAGCACCACTTACATATTTTGGAAAGTAGAAAAATTCAAAAGAATGATCAAAAATTAACCACTCAAAGACTAATTTGAGTAACGTCACTAAGCAAATGTACAAGTTCTTTTATGATAATAAATTTTGGGTGTTAAAATTCATTACATGGTAACATTAAGTCCGAAATTTGGTTTTAATTAATTAATTTGAATACTCATAGAACAAAGTGTCTAATTGCAGACTGAAATGCTTACTGTTGTGGACTTTGAGAAAGGTTAATGAATTTCTCATTGGACAGCATCAAAATACAAGGATTTTTTATAACGGTTAGAACTTTGTTTCTTCTTGTTGAATCTTGATATTTTAATGGATTTTTAATTGTTTTAATTTGTCAATTTATTGTTTTTTTTTTCTGGCTTAATTGTAGCTGGTTGATTGTTTAGTATTCACTCGACAAGTCTTCTCAGGTTCTCCCAAAAATACCTTTTTAGTCGTAGTAAAGGTGAGAAACCTTTTTACTAGATGTAATTGATTTTATTTTTGTCTTTTAAAAAACGGCATGACTTTCGTACTTAAAATATATGAATGAACTTTGAGTTTTATAGTCACTTGGATCCATGTGTCTGCCCAAATGAAGAAAAAAACCATAGAAAATCTCATACGTCAGTTCACGGTTACCAGAGTGGATTTTTTTCTTTTTCTAAAAAGATGGGGAATTGAATTAATATTAATGTGGAAATGGTTTTGTGAATTTATAGAGTGACACATTAAAAAATTCTGAAATTGATCGTTTAATTCTCATCGTTAAATTTGAAGTGAAAAATATATATACATATGACGTGAATGCATTTATTCATCAGAAATAATAATAATATAAAAACAGTTTGGGGAAATTGAAGACACCGCATTTGTTATCCCTAAAGTCCCACCCCAGTGCAATTTTTGTACAAGTGAAACTGACGTATTTCAGTGTTAACTGAAATCTTCTGGCGCCAGTTTTTGACTTATTTTCGCCTATTTCGAACAGCCATTCCTTTTTTTCTTAAAAATGAGCAACATAGTTACAGTTATTGCTCCAGTAAATATTGCAGTAATAAAATACTGGGGAAAACGTGACGAGAAATTAATTTTACCGTTAAATGATTCCGTTAGTGCTACTTTCGATACAAGTGTTATGTGTGCTAAAACATCGGTATCTACTCATCCGGATTTCGTAGAAGATCAGATTTGGTTAAATGGAAAAGAAGAGTCATTTTCGAATCCAAGATTACAAAACTGCCTCAGGGAGATAAAATCACGAGCTGTTGCAGAGAAAACGATTACTGAAGATGTACTATCATGGAAAGTTCATGTTTCTTCAGAGAACAATTTTCCAACCGCTGCTGGTTTAGCATCCTCGGCTGCAGGATATGCTTGCTTAGTGTCAGCTTTAGCAAAATTGTATAAAATTAAATCAGATGTCAGTTCAATTGCAAGATTAGGCTCAGGCAGTGCATGTAGAAGTGTTTACGGAGGTTTTGTAAGGTGGCATGCTGGCTCAAAACCTGATGGTAGCGATTCTATAGCCACACAAATTGCAGATTCGAATCATTGGCCTGAAATGCGTGTTTTAGTACTTGTAGTTGGTAATACTCAAAAGAAAGTCAGTTCAACTGTAGGAATGAAAATATCTTCAGAAACATCTGAATTATTAAAACACCGAATACAACACTGTGTTCCCCAAAGAACTGAAGAAATTATAGAAGCTATAAAGAACAAAGACTTTTCTAAATTTGCAGAGATAACAATGAAAGACAGTAATCAGTTTCATGCAATTTGCTTAGATTCATATCCTCCTATTGTGTACATGACAGACATTTCTCATTCAATTGTAGATTTGATTCATAAATATAATGACTTAAGTGGGGAGACAAAAGTAGCATACACATTCGATGCTGGATCGAATGCTTGTTTGTACTTGTTAAAGCATGATGTCCCTAAAGTGATTTCATTAATAAAATATGCATTCCCTTCAACGTCACCAGAAAACTTCATAACAGGTTTAAGTGTGGCCAAAGAAGAAATAAATACAGATATTTTATCAAAGTTGTGTATTGAACCAATGGGAATGGATATGATTAAATACATTATACACACTAAAATAGGTGAAGGACCTACAGAAATAGATTCACATTTGCTGGACAGTAACGGGCTGCCTATTTCAAAGATAAAAAAGATATAAATTTTATACTTTCCAACAAGGGGTGCTGATGTGTAGCAGATGGAAAAAATTATATTCCTAATCAATGAAATAAAACTGTACAATAAAGTGTTAATAAATCGAAAAATAATAAAAATTTAATTAGGGTAAATACTAAAACAAAAATTAACAATTATCAATACCTATAGGTATATTTTTTCTATTTGTTCACTCATATTTCTCTTGCAGTTGGAATATGTTTATTAAAGATCTTTGAAATTTGACTTCTTTGTAGTATTCTATGTTAGAAGTTAAATAGCTAATAAATTAATATGAAATAAAATCCAGGTGGCGAAAGAATCAATGCTAGTTTTCATACCACAGCTGCATTGTTTGAACCATCTTATCTAAAATGTGTTCCACTGTGGCTAATCTACAGACAGAAAGCATTTTAAATAAGGCACTGCTACTCTAGTCCTTTAAGCTAATTGCAATTAACTGTGACATCTTGGATCAAATTAACTGTACTGCCTATATTTATTTTTATATAATAGTGCATGCTGTTTTGTAACCATTATTTCAATTAGACTTTTACATTGAACATATTTATTAAATCAGAAGTTTTAAAAAGACTATTTTTGTAGATAATTATGATTCACTAGAGGGGTTGGGGTTGGGTTGGTATTGTCATTATCCTTTTGTATTTTTGTATGTAAATTTACATTATAATAAATGAAGTCATTTGGGTACGAAAAGGTCGTATTTTATTTACATAACAATACATTAAAATAAGCACTATTCAATTTCTTATCTTAAACTTACAAGGAGATCAATAAAATGCTAGTTTCGAAAATTTACACAATTTCATTTATTTTCATCCTTAACATAATTCAACACTGTCAAGAATTGGAACAAGTAGAAAAATCACTTAGAGTCAATCATCCAAGGAATGAGTAAAGAACACAAAAATAAATGAAATTAATGTTGACAATTAAGCTTATCGGGCTGAGATGGAAACCTGCCAAACTCTTATAGTATTATCTGAGTAACCAGCAAATAAGGTTTGTCCATCAGTAGACCACGCTAGGGAGAGACACTGAGGAGGGTCTGTCTTGGAAGTTTGTGTTTGGTTAATGATTTCAGGCCTGAGCTCTTCAACCATCTCCTTGCTTTCCAGATCCTGTAAAAAAGCAGTTTAATAATATGTATTTTTTTTAGAAGTGATTTTTTGTTATTTATATTTTCCAAATATATCTTTAACAGCTAAAAGACATTTACAGCTAGATATGCTTGCATAAGTGGTACCCGCATTTACACCTTCAATCACTTTTGACAAAATCCACCAGGTTGACAATCTACTTAGAGGGCATCACTGTGGTACCTTCCAATGCATGGGTGCCACTTATGGACTACAGAACCTTAATGGAAAATATTTACTCAATTTTAGTTATTAATTAAATCGATACATACCCAGATCTTGATGGAAGGTCCGAAAGCAGCACATAGCCAGTATCTGTTGGGTGAGAAGCACAAGGCCGTGATGATATCATTGTGGTCTAAGGTGTGGAGGTGTTTGCCATCGTTCAGATCCCACAACATCGCCTTCATGTCCTTACCACCAGATGCACACAAAGAGCCATCAGGTGATACAGTAACAGTGTTCAGGTAGCCAGAGTGACCCAAATGGTTAATCTTGAGCTTACAGTTAGTGAGATGCCAGACCTGTGCACAAAAAAAACCATTGATTAAGATTTATAAACAGATTCCTAGAATAAGTTTTTTATTTGTTAGAACTTTAATATAAAGCTGAACATTCATATTTACTTAAATTTGAATTATGAAAAATCTATAATTAGGCTCATGAGGATTTGTATATTAGCTTTTAGGTATTCCTCAGTAAGTCTTTTTTTTTGGATGAGACAAGTACCTAATATATTTTTCAACAGCTGTGAACGCTAAACGATAATTTACGAACTAGATTAGACTTTTGATACATCTAAGCATTGAAAGAATCAAGGCAATTTATAACCCTTTTCATAAATAATACACTAACCTTGACAGTTCTGTCCCAACCACAGGATACGATAATGGGGTTGGCATGATTGGGTGAGAATCTGACACATGACACCCAATCGCTGTGTCCATCATCTTGGATGGTATACTTGCACTCCGCAAGGGTGTTCCAGAGTTTGATAGTCTTGTCGCGAGAACCAGACACTATCTGACGGTTGTCAACTGAGAAGGCTACCGAGAGTACATCCTGTGATATAAACAAAAAACTTATCAATTCAACTACACTTTAAATTGTTAACAGACTGTTGTATGATGGTCGGTATATTTACAATACTATAATTATACTACCATCTTACCTCAGACTTTTACCACACAAACACAATCTTCTGCCTCGCAAAGGCACAAAACACTGGTCTTCTGCCTCGCATAGGCACTTAGGATTATCTTCAGTGCATAATCAGCATTTACACCCTAACAAAATTAAAAGTTCTGTCACACCTTAGTATGGTCCTCGAATCGTCTGGTAGTCTTGCCTGCAGCGAGATCCCACAAACGCAAAGTCTTGTCCCAAGAACCGGAAAGGGCGTAATTACCGTCACTAGACAGCACAACATCAGAAATGAAGTGCGAATGACCGTATAAACGCTTTTGAGGTATACCGTAGTTGTTTTCGTCTCTGGTCAGCTTCCACACGATGAGAGTTTTGTCTGAAGATAAATTTCAAATTTTATTCGAATGTCTCATTTTCTATATGTATATTGGATCCTACAGTAACAAAATATTCAGCCCCATATCCGCTTGCCGCTCACAACAATCGCGTGGCAAAGTTTTATTCATCATGTTATTTTGTTGGTGAATGGTAGTATACAAGAAAACTGATATGTATTTAACCCAGGTTATTGCATATTTGTACGGTTATTGAGATAATGATTGTAAAGATGTATCTGGATTTATTAGCAAACTTACCTCGAGAGGAAGATAAGATCATGTCCGGGTATTTCGGATTAGTTGCAATTTGAGTAACCCAGCCATTGTGGCCTCTAAGAGTTCCTCGGAGTTTTAATGTTTCAGACATTTTTGAAAATGGTTTGAAGAGCGACGACTCCCTGAAGCGTCAGGTCCGGTAGCACGTGTTAAAAGAACACGAAACCTACGGTGATGGCCGACCATCGACCGCGAACTAGAGATGCCCAAATCAGTCGAGTCAAAGAGGCGACAACTTTTCAGGGTTGACCTAGTCGACTACATCGATTGTAAAACATCGCGATGATTTATGAAATCAATTTTCTAAATTATTAATCCCGTAGTTGAATAAGAGACCATTACTATAAGGTAATTTGTGATTTTTAAATGGAAATCTCGAAATTGATTTACTACTCGCTGGGGCAACTGGCCGGCGTCCGAGACAAATTGAAGCCACAAATCGAAACGAAAAATCTGTCTACTACTGCCGAGTGTGAAGCACGATTTAAAAAAAAAACAATTTTTTATATTTGAGAAATTACCGGTGGCCCGGAGGCCTTTCCAGTTTTACCAGGGCAGGTGGGCGAACAAGGGCTCAGCCAGAAAGGGTGGGATTTACTCGAGCGCCTCCAAAGAAGACCTAACAACTTGAGGGAGCTCATATAGAGTTCCTTCTTTATTTCGCCGTAAAGTCGTGTTTTATATAATTTTTTTTTTTTTTTTTTTTTTTTTTTTTTTTTTTTTTTTTTTTTTTTTTTTTTTTTTTTTTTTTTTTTTTTTTTTTTTTTTTTTTTTTTTTTTTTTTTTTTTTTTTTTTTTTTTTTTATAAAGAGGGTTTTCTCGATTTCGAGACGTCACCCTCAAAGTTTACACAAAAAAATTTAAACGCGACGCTTTATACTTACGTCTACCAACTTATATAGCATTCTGGCTGCCCTCGACAAGGGGGAGGCCAAGATGCTGTTATAGACGCCTACATCCATTGCACATAAATCAAATTCTAACATAAAGCCACTGCGCTCCGCTTCACTCCGTACACACTCCTTCATTATGTGGGTTGCATCCTCGACTACTCCACACTCGTCACAGTTTGGTGAATCGCATATTTTCATCAAAAATCCAAAACTATTTAGAGGAATGTGTCCAGACCGAAGTCTGAAGGCAGTCACAATATGTTTTCGATGCATATCTACTCCTGTGAACCAAGGGAGACGAGAAAAGCTGGGCTGTATGGTTCTATACCATATACCTTTAGTTCGTGATCTCTCGTCAAAATATTCTTTCCAAAAATCTATGCATTGTCTTCTAACTAAATAAATAATATCACTAAAATAAGGTAAACAATCAAGAAACAGTCCGTCAGTGACGGCTTCTTTCGCTAGACGATCAGCTACTTCATTTCCGTACAATCCAATATGAGCCGGCACCCNCTCCTGCTCACTCAAAGTACTCCTGCTCGACCGCACATCCATTGTTTCGTGTTGATTATCTACCCTCGTTATCAGCGGCGCGGTCGCCGGCTACCCAACGGTGTTGGGTATGCCCCCAGCAACGCGCTGACCGATGCGCGGAACGTATTTTTAAATAAACAACACACTAGCACCTCGTGCGAGTGCAGCGCAGAGACTGTTTTATATAATTAACACCACAGTTGAAACAATATAAATTTTATTGTTGTAGCGACATAAACAATTCTAAGTAATTATATTACATTAGTTATTAAACACATTATAAATTATTTTTTACGTTTAAAATTTTCAGCGGTAAAAAGGTCCCGTGTCACAGACTAAATTCTTTTTCCCACCTCTCGTGCATTCCGGCGTACGCATCATAAAAAGGTGCGTTATTGAACGCCACAAACTCAAGAGCAGCTGCTTCACGAATAAATCTACTACCGGATCGGAATCGCGACCCGCTGAGAAGATCCGGCGAGAAACTCAGCGAGCTAATGCCTAGATTAGGTTGCAAGTCGAATTCTTTGTCGAGTTCGACGAGTACGGTTATCGAAAAACCGAGTGTGCTTTATCACACGAAAGAAGTAAAACTTCTTTATACCCATCCCTATGTGTATATATATACATATATGGTTCTAAGGTCTCAGTATAGTTACAACGGCTGTCCCACCATTCAAACTGAAGAAATAGGCAGAGTAGTGGTACCTACCCGTGCGGTCTCACAAGACGTCCTACTACCAGTAATTATGCAAATTTCAATTTTTACTGGATTGATATTCATTAAACGATGTTATTCCTTCACCGTGGAAGTCGATCATGAACATTTGTGAAGTACATATTTCATTAGAAGAATTGGTACTTGCCTGCAGGATTCGAACTCCGTTGCATCGCTGGATGCGAATGCACCGGACGTCTTATCCTTTAGATCACGACGACTTGTCTTCGAAGTCTCAATTCTGCATAACGAGTGCCCACTTTTGGGTAACTACCTGTGGAATTTTGAACACCACAGCATGTACGCATCGCTTAATATGGTGATAAGTAGAGCAGACACCTTATTTTTTAGGCCTTGACGAAAATATATTTATCGACTTTCCTTCGGATTTTAAGATATTTGTTAATATCAAATTAAATTCTTAATGATTAATCGGAAAAGGTAAGAAATCTGAACGCAGCTAAAAATCAAATGGCACCACATGGTAGTTCCATTTTTGACCACTAGAGCCCTTCTTCTTGAGAAAATTGACGTCACGCAAACGCCATTTTGTAAAGTGTCCGCTTTAGTCAATTTTTTGAAAAAGTGTAAAATAGTTATTTCGCATGATTTTGTGTACATTAAATACCTAATAAAAGCCAAAGTTTGAATTAACGTCTTGTACGTTAATCACACACACAATTATAATGGAGGACAAGGCGTCGCTTAAAGAACTAGATCAATGGATACAACAGCTAAATGAATGCAAGCAATTGACAGAAAATCAAGTTAAAACGTTATGTGACAAGGTATGTACTATGATAGTTTCGCTTATCTTATTGTCGCTAATATTCAGCTAAAATTCAAATCTTAGGTCTAATTTGAATGTTTAAGTTGTATGATTCATGTACCTACATTTCAAGAAGTTATCGGGTATCGGTATTCTTCGGATAGGTCTTGGGAAGCTGGTTGTCGTTGGTTTGGTAATCGTTTGAAAATATGGGGGCTCTACAACATTGCGACGCTAGTTCTAAATTATTGATATTGTTTACCACACCCAATTTTTGTTCATAGTTAGTTACTTAATATTCTAATTGTTCGAAAGATATTTTTAGACACGCACGGAAGCTGATAATCAATTAACATTATCCATTTTATGTCCAATTTAGGATTGTCTAAATAGGTTAGAAAGGTTATTAAATGTTTGCATGAATGTTGTTTTTTGTATGATAGATAAGAGAAAAAAATAAACAGAATGTTGGTTCAATTGAATTATGATGTAAAGTTTGTTTTAATGTCATCTAAGTCACTGGAGTAAAAATGTAGGAAGTGCATCATGTTCTGTGATTCCACCAACATCTTTACTTCTTTTTTTTTTTTAATAAACAGAACATCATACAGTTGTTCCCATCACCTGTTTTTTGTCATGATTTTGCAGTGCCTAGACCTACAATATAATGTAAATGCAATTGTAGAGGGTGCAGCTTAACAATTAATTCAAATATTCATTATTTTAATGTAATAATCTTCTACATTCTACATTTTTAGTTACAGTAAGAAAGTCAAAAAGAGAATTATACAATTTTAAGTAACAAAGATCCATTACCAACAAGCACCTATAATTGTTTGAGTTCTAAATAGTTCTATGCTCATCTTTTAATTATTATTTTTCAATTAAAGTTTTCTACTAAATTTCTGTTTATTAAAATAACTTGAAGATAAAAGAAAAAAACAATTCTTAAATCTCGTATGATGTTTTTTTTTTGTTTCAAACTAAATAAATATTTTGATATTTAGAGTATGAAGAATTTTTATAGATCATCTCATCTGTGAACATTAAATACAAACTACATATAAAATCTTGCATATGTGTTTGACAATGAAATGAATTGTTTGGTTTGTATGTGGTTTAAAGTGCCATATTGTGATTTACTTTAGATAACATAATTTTTTTTTTTAATTGAAATTGATTTACAAGTAAAAGTTCTACATTATGAACATTTGTAGATAAGTGTTGAGCAAATCTAAGATGAAAACTGTGTTTAGCTGAGAATGAAGACTGATGAAATTGTGTAAAATTAACATTTTTCCTCTGTACAATATTTACCTATTTGGCTACTGATTTTTTTTATTGTTCAGATGATTGAATAATCACGACCAATAAATTCTTCATTGATTATTGGAGTAAACATATATTGGAATAAATGCGACACACCTTAAGATATAGGTTTGAAGTTTCAGTTGTCTCAAAGGGCTATCCCACCCAATTACTGCATTATGACAGAAATATGCAGGATAGTATTAAATACTATTTTTTTTTATATCTCTTTCTATTTGCTGGTAGCCTAAAGGGCTATTCCAGTTACACGCTGATGGGTACATGAATCCACTAGTACAACCTGGCAGAACTAGCACTAGCCCTTGTAAGAGTAGTGCTTTGCAGTATTTGCAACCACTGGATCAGAATTGCGACCCATTGAGAAGATCCTGCAAGAAACTCAATTGGTTGTGTCTATGGGTTATTTCACTTGTCGAACTCTTCATCATAATCAGTAAGTTTGATGATTAATGATGACTGGTGCTTGAAGAGCCTTAAAGCACCGAGAGTAGATCAGGGGGATCCGACAAGACGTGTTTCGGGCAGCGGCGGCTTTACCTTGCCCTATCGCCCATATCGAAATACTAGTGTACGCCTACAAATCAACCCACTACCAGGAATTATGCAAATTTGTAGATTGTAATTAGTATATAATACACAATCGTTTATCATGGATATCATTTAACTAATATACTTACTAAGTATTTGTTTAAATAACTGATAACTGCTGGTGAGATTGAACACTGGAATTGCTTGATATGAGTACACATTATCCTTTTGGCTTACAAAAACTTCTGATGATCCTTGATTAATCCTGTTACATAGCAATTTGGAAGAAAAAGATTGCAAGCTTGAGCTTGCTGAAGCTGAAGAGCTTGCAAGATTAGAATGTTGAAAGAGTTAAATAATATAGAATTTCAAACAATCTTTCAATTAGTGGTAGAACGTCTTATGAGTCCGCAAGGATAGGTACCACAACTCTGCCTATTTCTCTGGTGAAACAGTAATGTGTTTCGGTCTGAAGGGTGAGGCAGCCATTCTACTGTACTGTGATCATAGAATTCATATGTAAAGGTGGGTGGTGGCATTTACGTTGTAGATGTCTATAGGCTCCAGTAACCACTTAACACCAGGTGGCTCATTCATCCGTATAAAAAAAGTGTGGATAAACATGATTCGAATTTTGTTCTAATTAGAGACTACTTTAGTAAATGCTCCCACTTTAGTTTTACGTGCCTAGAAAATTGACAAGGATCTAATCCAAAATGTGATTAAATATTGTATTTTTAACTAGCTAAACTTTCTGGTGGTTTGAGGAAACCCAAAGTTTTTGTAAAAGATTCCATCCATCCAGATTCCAGATTTTGGTATTATACTTTCATTACATTGATGGGTGAATGAGCTCATGGCCCATCTAGTGTTAATTAAGCGTTAAGTTAATCCTAATAAATGATAGACAGGATAGTACTTTCTACCTGGGCCTACAGGATACCCCACCACCAGTAAATACAAAGAAATGCTATATATTTGTTTATCAATAACATTATCTGTTCAGCACCATACTTAATGTATGCTTCATCAAAGATTGAATTGAGGATATTAATGCAGTGACGCTGTTACAGGCCTCACATAACATAAACACTTTTTGCAATTATCAAAATGTCCTATTCATATACGTGTATATGAAGCAATATTTATATTGTTTCCATATTATAATTTAAAATATTAAGAGATTGAAATTTTTCAAATATGCTATAATTGAAATTCACTTAGTGAAAACACATTTTAGTCACAGAGGCTATTAAGTTATAATGACATATTGATAACTTTCTTTGAAAACATTTTGAAGGACTTTTGATATTCCTGATTATAAAATTGTTTTTTGACTACAATGTCACTCTATCTATCATTTGCTATCATACAATTTGAAAGTGGGGACGGTCTAAATGTAGACTTGGGTAGATTATTTTTACTATGAGCTTAACCTCACTATTTTAAATTTCTTTTTAAAACTATGCACTTGAAGTACTGTTTTACTAACTGTATAGTACTTTTACTTTTCTAGTAAGTTATTAGATGCAATGATAACAGGATACGCTTCTTTAGTAAATCAAATGCATATTATTGATTATGTAATGTGAAATATTCATTGTTTTCACACAGAAATCAACTATAAATTAGATACGACAAATTTTGTTGGTCTAGTTGGCTGAAATAATATTAGTTTGATGTATTGACAGTATTTTTCATTAAATTTTAGAAACATATATTAGAAAGAAATATGATACAGATATCTAAGACGGACGCTAGACAAGCATTTATGATATCATGCAAATTTGAAACCTATTAATACTAGATTAAGTATTCAAATTCTGTTTTAAAGCACGTTGCTTTGGATTTTTTTTTCAATACTAAAAATTTGTTGAATCGTTTCGCGCTTTCTCTGTTTTGCCTTGATGGCAATGGCAACGGCAGAAACCTTCCTTTAAACTGCTAATATTGATTTTACTAATTTTAAAATCAATCAGAGAAACGACGCGCAAGCGCTTCGTCCAAACGGATAGGTTCACGGGTAGGTTCCAAAATTTTGCCCATTTCTGCCGCGAAGCAGTAATTCGTTTCGGTTTGATATACGAAATAGCTACTAAGCTACTAAGCTAAGTATGCAGTACTATGGTTTTGAATTTTCGTTGTTGTACTATAGACCCCGGTAATCATTTAATATCATGTAAGCTGTAAACTCGTTCAGCTGAGAATGCAATAAAAAAATCACGTCCAAGCAAACCTATGATAATAATCACTTATTTGTATTTAAATAAGTTTATTTAACCCAAACGTTGATTAAGATTCTGTATTTTAGGTAGATACATAATTATTATCATATATTTTATATGTATAATATGTTTTTTTTGTTTTGTTTATTATTGCTTAGATGGGTGGACGAGCTCACAGCCCACCTGGTGTTAAGTGGTTACTGGAGCCCATAGACATCTACAACGTAAATGCACCACCCACCTCGAGATATAAGTTCTAAGGTCTCAGTATACCAGCCAGTATACAACGGCTACCCCACCCTTCGAACCGAAACGCATTACTGCTTCGCGGCGGAAATAGGCGGGGTGGTGGTACCTACCCGTGCGGACTCACAAGAGGTCCTACCACCAGTGCAATCAAGCATAATCTATCATAGGTAAATGTTCTGTTTCTCTAGAAATTACAGCACCGAATCGGTTCTTCCGTGAACTTAGGAAATTGCTATCAAACGATAAAGTAAAAAGATTATTGTTAATGGCCTGCATGATCTTTGTGGTTTTGAGTGAGATGTAAGTATTAAGATCATTATATTGACCGTTGGTTGCCTATTGATGAGCATATGATATATTCATATATGTTTACTGTGTAGATTAACGTAGAGGTAGCTTAGCCAGTAAAAGACTTAACGCCTTAAACTTTCAAATAATTCCAGGTCCTATTTGCTTCTTTTTCTTTAATTTACTTAGTTTGAGCGAGCATTTTCTTTTTTACAGGAATGTAATGATGTAGATATTTTCGATGTTTTTCGTCATTTCATGTAGTTTTAGATCTACTTATCTACATAAGTTACTCTTGTTTTTGTGACCTTGTGCTTGAATAACTTTTTAGCAAATTCTAACGCAAAGTCACGTTTTTCAGCATAAAACAATGGATGACTCACAGCAATTAACTTTGGTACATGATTCATTATCACTTCATCGCTATCAACCAAGTGACGTACAGTACCTTCTGTATCGATACAGACTGCTATAGTATACCTATAGAGAATCCTACCTAAAATAACCTACCGCGCCTTTTATTTCTCTGATGGCAATAAAATAATGAGGTACCATCCGATCTGTTTGACGATAAGCACGGAAGGTGGACAACGAAAACTTTGGCTTTTTTTTATTGCTTAGATGAGTGGACAAGCTCACAGCCCACCTGGTCTTAAGTGGTTACTGGAGCCCATAGACATCCACAACGTAAATGCGCCACCCACTTTGAGATATCAGTTCTAAGGTCTCAAGTATAGTTACAACGGCTGCCCCACCCTTCAAACCGAAAGGCATTACTGCTTCACGGCAGAAATAGGCAGGGCGGTGGTACCTACCCGCGCAGACTCACAAGAGGTCCTACCACCAGGCTATTAGTAACCTCATAAATACGTCTTCTTCGAATGCTATCTGTCATTAAAGTATTTTTTTTTTAAGTTTGTTTGATAGCGTATTTACAGCTTGCAATTCCAATACTTGCAGCGTCATTAACCACTACCACTCTGCCAAGAGTGAACGACTAAGAAGAAGGATAGTCTTATTTAGTTGTAGCCAGTTTAGTTTGTATGAGGCTTGCTTTCTTTCTTTATTGTTGTAGTTTATGACGTCATGGGCTTGAAGTCTCAAATGTGGCAAGGTATGGCAAGGACTGTCTGAAACAGGCATAATAGCGGTACACACCCGTAAATGCGATTCAAACCCTCTGACACAGCCCACTGAGTTTCTCACCGGATCTTCTCAGCGGGTCGCGTTTCCGATCCGGTGGTAGATTCTGCGAAGCACGGCTCTTGCTAGGGTTCGTGTTAGCAACGTCGTCAGGATTGAGCCCCGTGAGCTCACCTACTAGTTAGGTTACGCTGAAATAGCCTCTCAAGGCTCTCAGCTTAGGTAGGAATAAAAAGCGATCGTAGAAGGTATACGGGTGAACTAAAAAAAAATATGCGAAAGAAGATTGCAAGAAAAACGATATTTGTAAATGTTCCATCTCTTTCTTGATTGACAATGAATTTGATGTGACAAAGTTAATGTTCTGTTATTTCAAGAATAGAGTGTAGACGTGCAGGTTGATTTAAAAATGACCTTTAATTACACCAACGCACGAACGTGTAACGACTTCACACTTGAGAAATTGTTTTTTTTTATTAACTGAATATATTATATTAGATACTTCTTAATTTTATAGAAGCTTCTTGAAGTCCTTGTGAAAATTGTACAGCTAATTTGACTTTATTAGTCTGTATGTCGAGTATGGCGAATTCTCTAAAATTACTACATACAGATTTTTTTGAGATGCACTTCATAGCGAAACAAAATAACTTACTGAAGAAAAAAAAAGTAAAAATAGTCTTGACCAGTCATATAAGAGTCACAATAGACAAATCATTCTAAGTGAATCATAACATTATAGCCGAGCTAAATAGAAAACACTACGGTTTACATTTCTTCAAAAAGTTGAGTTACAAGTTACAAGTAGATAAAAGCATTGTTCAAGATATGAATTCCACATTGGCTCGTTATTAAATATTTTATATGCTTTACTAAAAATCATAAATTTATTTTAATTCATTACAGTATTAAGAAGATATAAACTGTGTCGTGGCTTTGGACGATTGAGATTATTATGCGTTTTACCAAATAACATTAATCATATGAAGCATTGAATTTGCGTGATATTTCATCAATGGCAGGAAGCTTTGAAGTGAATGTTATTCATTAAATGTAATAAGTGTATCGTATGTAGTAATAGGGGAAGGCGGACACGCGTGATTGTACGTGATGGATTTGCTTGTTCCAATATTTGCGCTCACAAGTACATATGAGTCGACTATTATCAAAGGCGGCAATCTGACTTTTGGACAATGATTGGTAAATCAGAAAAACGAATTATTGACTTGGTATTCCATCGGCAGTCACAAAACTCTTCGGAACGAAATCTTAGATAAATAACAGGTTAACTATAAACCTTTATTTAATGCAGGTTTTGAACCGTATTCTTTGAAGGAGACGATTATATTCAAATCAATCTCTATTGACATATCAATAAAAAATTTTTGTCCAAATGCACAGATTGCCACCTTTGATAATAGACGACTCATATATGGTAGTGATGTTGAAAATGATTCAATGCAAATGTTTGGAAATTTTCGGAAAACATATTGTACTTATGTATGTGCGATACATATTCTTTACTAAAGTATTAACAAACATAAACAAAATCTATATATGTATATAAAAATGAATTGCTGTTCGTTAGTCTCGCTAAAACTCGAGAACGGCTGGACAGATTTGGCTAATTTTGGTCTTGAATTATTTATGGAAGTCCAGAGAAGGTTTAAAAGGTAGATAAATATGAAAATGCTCGGAATTAAATAAAAGTAACAATTTTGTTTTCCCTTTAATGTGTCCCTCGTCGGACGGATTCCTTTTGTTTGTTTTAAGTTTATTTTATACAAAAGTTTAGGTCTTTTATTTATAGATTGAGGCACTACGAAGTCTGCCGGGTCAGCTATGTTTAATAACGGATATTTCCATTTAAAGAAAATGTTTCAAGAACTAAAAGCACACGTAACTTTTACTGTAAAGTTGCTTGATAATTATTTATTGTTAATTACGTCTAAGTAATTACTGTATCATTCTATGAAGCATTAAAGCTTATTTTTATTTTCGGAACATTTAGTAAAAATTATGTAAACAATTCCTTATAAAAATCATGTTAGGCGTTCTTAATAACACAATGAGTTTAGTATCATTATTGCAACATGAGAGAATTACGTTCTATTGTCAGCATTTAAACTAGATGTTTTGGCTAATTAATAAATATGTATTGTGCAATCGTTATAACATATTGCATATTGAAATAGTGGTTTTATTTTTAATTATCTGTCATTTAGCAGTAATTTTTTGAAATGAACTGAAATGAATATAAAGAGCTTGGTTGAAAAATCGCCCGGTGGCACTGTAGTTGGCATGCCTAACTGCTGAGCAGAGGGATCTGGGTTCGATACCTACCCACATCGGGCAAACAGATTTGTTTACTTTTTGTCTGAATCTTTGAATTGCATGTATTTAAACAAATATATGGGTTTAAGTTTATGAGAATCCTAGTTTAGGCTTAAATCACTAAGTGTTTTTTGGGCCCGATAGTTTATTTACGTATCATATTATACCTTTAAACGAGCAATTCTTGTATATTAATATATGTATACTTATATAAACTGAATCTCGGAAACGGCTCCAACGATTTTCATAAAATTTAGTATACAGGGGATTTCGGGGGCGATAAATCGATCTAGCTACGATTTATTTTCAGAAAATGTTGTTTTATTCGTGTTTTCAATAATCAACTCTTCCCGACATCTATTGGCGAATAATAATACTATTTTTCTTAATTGAGGGCAACTAACCGCTTTAAAGACACAACAAGATGGCGTTATCAAAAAAAAAAAACCGGTCATCGTGTAGTTTAACTTTAATTTCAAATGTCCAGACCGCATCGTTTGATCCGAGTGATTGTAATCTTTCATTAATTCCAGGCAAAGGAGATCCTGACGAAGGAATCTAACGTCCAAGAAGTAAAATGTCCGGTGACCGTATGCGGCGACGTGCACGGTCAGTTTCACGACTTGATGGAACTGTTCCGCATCGGGGGACGTTCTCCGGATACCAACTACCTGTTCATGGGCGACTACGTGGACCGCGGCTACTACAGTGTCGAAACGGTCACATTGCTCGTTGCGCTTAAGGTGAGTAGCCTCCATCACAGCCGATAATTAAGAAGTATTTTAGAACCTTAAATGAAGAAGGAGGTTTTTTAACGTCTTATAATATACCAGACGGTTCGTTCATACATTTTTTGTTTTTATTTATTGTTTAGATCAGCGATGGGCAAAGTACGGCCCGAAGTAATTAATCTGGCCCGCCGAGTGTTCATCCATCGTAAATATTTTAGTCAGCATTTTAGCGCGTAAAATAAAATCTGACGTTTATAATTGAAAATCTTCGATTTTTTTATTAAAGCTCCAATTCGTCAGGGGTGTTTTGAGCCTCATTATCTCATAAAATAATTAACTTGCCATCATTATAATTATCTCGGCAGTCTGTCACAGGTATTAGTTTATTTATTGGAAAAAAAAAACATTCTTTTCACCTATCTATCACACGCCTCCGGTCTCACACGCCTAACAAGGCTTATAATAGTAAAAGGTATTTTGTTTATTAAAAAGTTTTAAAACTGTTTGCCCACCACTGGCTTAGATGGTTGGATGAGCTCACACCCCACCCGGTGTTAAGTGGTTACTAGAGCCCATAGACATCTACAACGTAAATGCGCCACCCACCTTCAGATATAAGCTCTAAGGTCTCAGTATAGTTACAACGGCTGTCCCACCCTTCAAACCGAAACGCATTACTACTTCACGGTAGAAAATAGGCAGGGTGGTGGTACCTACCCGTGCAGACTCACAAGAGGTCCTACTACCAGTAATAACGCAAATTATAATTTTGCGGGTTTGATTTTTATTACACAATGCGATTCCTTCACCGTGGAAGCCAATCGTGAACATTTGTTAAGTACGTATTTCATTAGAAAAATTGGTACCCGCCTGCGGGATTCGAGCACCGATGCATCGCAAGATACGAATGCATAGGACGTCTTATCCTTTAGGCCACGACGTCTTCTGGACCGAAATATTAAGCCAATTTCATATATTGCGGAGAGTATTAAACGGTAGGCAGCGGCTTTGATCTGCCCCTGGTATTGCTGACGTCCACGAACGACAGTAATCAATCACCATCAATTGGACCGTAGGTTGTATGTGGTCTGCCAAAAAGGGAAATAAAAAAAATTACACAATTTACGAATGTATGGTTTTTACATGTGGTTAGTTAAAGGTTTACCTTTATACAGCAATCATTATATCAACGCTTCAAACAATATATTCAGAAGTTTCTTAATAAATGAGAATTTGATCTCATGTCTGATGGTAGGTGCCAATCAATATTATGTTTTCCTCATAATTGATCCGAAAAATTGCCTGCTATAATACAAGCTTGGATACAAAGTCTTATCGTGTTCTTTTTTGAAGTCTCATATTGTTTCAGAATGTTACGTATTGCATTGTAGACTTTTAAATTCCTTTGACCTGTTACATAAATATCGACTGTATTGGCCGTATTATACAGTTGTGTCTTCGCTTAATCTTCTTCTTTTTCTCCACCTTATCCCATTAGGTGGGGTCGGCACAGCTAATTTTTCTCTTCCATTCTCTTCTATCAGCCGTCATCTCAACACTCACTCCTCTCTCTTATATCGTCATTCACACACTCCATCCATGTCTTCTTCGGTCGACCTCTTCCTCCTCTACCTTGCACTACCATTTCCATACATCTCCTAGTCACATGCATCTTCTCTCTACGCATCACATGTCCATACCACGCTAACCGCTAACCGTGTCTTCGCTTAATATAATTTTATTTTATTTTAAATCTGAAGCGAATTAAGAGAGTATATGACTGATTTTCTCCCAGTCGGTTGCTCTCCTTGTTGCGATCGTGACATGTTTTGTTAATTGATTTTCGTACACGGCGTGTGAAAATTACCGGAAAGCGCTAAATAGATTATTCGGCCGCAAACGAACCGCGCAAATATAAAACACTAATAGAATTTACACAAAACAGAAATGATTTTGTTACCCACCAGGCACCAGGGGCAAGAATAAACTTTTCATAATAAACATTCTTTGAGAGTCATAAACTAAACTCTGAAATTTGTGTTTCGTAGTGTATATTCATATAATCTTAGCTGTGAAGGTCGTCCTAACCTGAAGACTGTGTCGATAAAATATATCCATATCAGTTCAGCTTCGGTGAGGAGTTTGTTTTGTAACGTGCCACAATCACAATATCTGGTCACATCGAAATGTTGAGGATAGACCATGCGATTTTACACATTTTAGATTTCTGTTCGAATTCAAAGCTATTTATTACATAGTATAGTTGTTTGAAGTTTACATATCATGGATTTTTTGTTACAATTTTTTCCTGATAATCGAGTATGAAATTATAGATAGGGCATTTGGCGTCAAATGACAATAGTGATTCTATTCAATATTATTTAATTAATAACGAAAAACATCTAGAGGACGTGAAGGAACGTTTTTTCCTCTAAGTATATTACAGTTTTAGATGTATTCCTTATAGAAACGTTTCTATTTACGTCGCATATAGTCTTGAACCTATGCCGTCGGAAACCGGATCCTATTTTGATTCACTCTCGTAGAGGCAGGCGCCTCTACGTCATCGGTACACTGAACTTTGAACTCCACGTGGATTGTGCATAGAAATTATGAACGATTATAACCGAACGAAGGTCGTTTATTAGCGCACCGTGTTTTCATTAATTTTTTGACTACCGTATTCAATGCACGTCGCGATTAATTCGTGAATATCACGACGATCCAATACCGAAATCATTGACAATGTATCATACTGGTGGTAGGACCTCTTGTGAGTCCGCGCGGGTAGGTACCACCGTCCTGCCTATTTCTGCCGTGAAGCAGTAATGCGTTTCGGTTTGAAGGGTGGGACAGCCGTTGTAACTATACTGAGATCTTAGAACTTATATCTCAAAGTGGGTGGCGCATTTACGTTGTAGATGTCCATTGGCTCCAGTAACCACTTAACACCAAGTGGGCTGTGAGCTCGTCCAACCATCTAAGCAATAAAAAAAAAAAAAAATAACGGGAAGAATGATTATTGGATAAAACTTCCACAGTGATTTGTGTTTAAAAAAAAATACGTCCTTGTTTCAAATCTAGTTTGAAAGCAGAATATTAGACATTTCCAGATTTGAAGCAAATGAATAAGTACATTGCAGATGGAATAAATAAATTAAGACGTAACTTTTCAAAAGGCTCGCAAGGGGCGATTTTTAGCAACTTGTCTTTTAAAGAATTAGTATTTGTAATGAAGAAGAAAACATTGTTATCTGTCTCAATCAATGATAAAGTTCGATCACCGCCTACGTTGTTTGTATTATCTGATATCAACGAAATTTGACTATATCGATAGAGAAAATACTAGTGAATCCCGGCCTTGCTAGCTAGCCACTTTTTTCCTACCTAAGCTGATGGTCTTGAGAGACCATATGAGCGGCACCGGGCGAGTAGGTGAGCTCACGGGGCTCAAACCTGACGTTGTTGCTAACAGCAAAAGCCGTGCTTCGCAGAACCTACCACCGGATCGGAAACGCGACCCATTGAGAAGACCCGGCGAGAAAATCAATGGGCTGTGTCTGTGGGTTAATTTACTCGCCGAGCCCTTCGTCGCAAGCGACGGGTTCGACGAAAACGATGACCGATGCTTGAGGTACCTAAAAGCACCGTTAGTGGATCGGGAGGTTCCGAACTGACGTGTTTTGGGTGACGTTGACTGTTTACCATTCGGTCAGCAGGATCGAGAATGTAGTTACCGGAGGCCACGATGAGAGGATTCTCGTGTCGTGCCGCTTTCTCGAAATGGCGCATTGATGCCGACTGTAGATACTTGCTGATGAACTCTAGGTCCAGGTCGTCGTGCAGGTCGATATTCCTGACGAACCACGGGGCTCCGACGGCTATCCTGCAAAAACGGGATTGAATGATTTGAAGGGGTTTCAAGTTAGTGCGGGCCGAGTGAGCGAACACTACACTTGCATAGGTCATGACGAGGCTTATGCAAGTTTTTGCTAGCCACAAGGCAGCCTCATGGTTGTGCGTCTTAACACATCCATGGACGGCTGTGACCACATTCCATCAAATGCGTCTCAAGCTTGTTTGATACGATTAGGAATTTCAAAAAGTAAAATATAAAACTTGCTAATTACAAAATTAGTAGTTTACGATATATAAAAGGTACATGAGGAATTAAGAGTGTACAATTAAAACTCAAACAATACAGCAAAGATTTTTTTAAATATTAATCTTGTACAACGTGACTCAACTTGCAATGATTATTATGTTTTATGAATAAGCGATTTCACGTTATCTCGTGGAGGGGGGGGGGAGGCTTAATTGAACTTTTTAATTACAATGTTTTACTTATCACATATTGAATTTGAACTGTGAAAAATGCACAGAAGAACAGATTGCCTCCAATTTTATATATATTTGCATTAGATAGTGAACGAGCTCACTGCCCATGTGTTGTTAAGTGGTTACTGCAGCCTGAATAAAGCTTCATGGATAATACCATCTTGATTCATGAGGTCGAATTATCAGTTGCCTTGAATAACGGCGGGCCATTTAAACTGAAACGCATTAGTTTTTCGTGGTAGACGTAGCCAGGATCATGGTACCTACTCATGAGGGCTCACAATAACCGTTATCACCGGTAAGTATAGGTAGATAGATTTCGAAGAATAGATAAGTCAAAAGTAAACGTAAGTCAAATCGTAACTTGTAATCGTTTCATTGAACGTTATGTTAATAGTTGCAAGGTCTCTATTTAAATGCATACAGCGACCTTAAAATAACAACCGTCATGCATATTCTTCATGAACTAAATATTATTGTGAAAATGGTGATGTGTATCTTCATCTTTATGTATCTTGAAAAACAATGCTTCTAAGTCCATAGGCGACGAATATAATACAAAATAATAAACTTTATAAGATAGTTATCGAGAAACATAAATGTCTTAACCAATTTGATTTGGTGACTTTAACTTTTTAAAATAATTTACTCGTTGGCGCAGTAGTCAGACAGTTAGACTGCTGAGTTGGGTTCAATTGCCACACTGGGTAAACATTCGTGTGAAGGAACAGGTTTCTTTACTCTTTTTTCTAGATATGTAATATCTGTAAATGTTTATATTTAAACGTATGTAAGCATGAAGAAAGAGCCTTTAGTAATAAGAACGTGCCACGGCTAATTGAATTATCATAGATTGTATTGTTGTAACTCGGGCAAATCTTAAAATAGAGAACCTAAGATGGTAAATTTGTTTTGAGTAAGTCCACGCGCACGTGTTGTTTGGTTTTTCATAAGTGCTAAAACTTCAGTCGCTTGCAATCTTGGATGATCTGATCCTTCGTGTTCGGTTTCACCTTCCTGCTATTTTGAGTTCTGAACAAAACGTTCCTAGAGCGGGGGTGGTGGCGCTCACCTTGTGGTAACAGTTTTCCTTCAAGCAACTATTCCAGTGGGCGATACGAGTTTTTTTTTATTGCTTAGGTGGGTGGACGAGCTCACAGCCCACCTGGTGTTAAGTGGTTACTGGAGCCCATAGACATCCACAACGTAAATGCGCCACCCACCTTGAGATATAAGTCCTAAGGTCTCAAGTATAGTTACAGCGGCTGCCCCACCCTTCAAACCGAAACGCATTACTGCTTCACGGCAGAAATAGGCAGAGCGGTGGTACCCACCCGCGCAGACTCACAAGAGGTCCTACCACCAGTAATAAAAAATAATAAATAAAAAATAAAAATAAATAAAGTTTGTGTGCTTGAGCTGAAATTCGAGAAAGGGACGTTCGATGATGGTTTTGTCAAGTGACAGGTAATGAAACGCGTCCATGTCGTTGCAGGTGCGTTACCGCGAGAGAATAACCATCCTGCGAGGAAATCACGAATCGCGTCAGATCACTCAAGTGTACGGCTTCTACGACGAGTGCCTCCGGAAATACGGCAACGCGTCCGTCTGGAAGCACTTCACCGATCTATTCGATTTCCTGCCCTTGACGGCGCTCGTAGATGGACAGATATTCTGCCTGCACGGTGGACTCAGTCCGTCAATCGACACCCTCGACCACATCAGAGCTCTGGACCGTCTGCAGGAAGTGCCCCACGAAGGACCCATGTGCGATCTCCTCTGGAGTGATCCCGATGACAGGTATGAAAAACAATTAACGCTAAATATACGAAAACGAGTCAAATTACCCATTTTGAACTTTTGCATTGAAAATGCATCATGCATCATCTCATAGCTTTTGCACATTTGATTTCATGATTTTCTCTTACCTTTTGTCTTGTTTTGTTTTGTTTATTTTGAGTAATGCTTGTCGTATACCTTTATCTACTCTCTATGGTAGAAATAGGTATCAGTAAGTGTTGGTATGATTAGTGTTAATGATGCTATCTTAATAAACAGTTAATGTAAAATTCATAAATTTAATTTGGTCATTTCGTATTAGATGTAATTTAGTATTCAGATCAGTCTTCCGTGACCACGAGAACGCTAAAGCATTCCAAAAGTCGGAAATAATAAAATGATTGTAATAAACACGAGATTAAACCATAAAAATAGTTTTAATTATGTTTACGACTCGCGAAATCCGAAGTAAACATTATACTTATTTAAAGGTTAGAATAGAATCTACCGAGCAACAACAGCTTTTAAAATAGTATAGCTAAAATGAAACAGGTACCACTTGCATGCACGTGCTGTGTAGTAGTTAGTTTAGTATCTCTTGCAATGAATTGCTTTGACAAGTATTTTTTCAATCCCTTTATTCACGAATACCGTACCATCCGGCTTTGGAATGAACTCCCCTCCACGATGTTTTCCGAGCGCTATGACATGTCGTTCTTCAAACGAGGCTTTCGGAGGGTACTTAATGGTAGGCAACGGCTTGGCTCTGCCCCTGGCATTGCGGACGTCCATGAGCGAGGGTGACCACTTAAACATCAGGTGGGCCGTATGCTCGTCTGCCTACAAAGGCAATAAAAAAAAAGAAAAAAAGAAAAGAATAATAGTGTAGACGTCGCTTTGAGAGAAGTCTTAAACATATAAAAAATTTAATTTCGATTCCAATATTTATTGTTATTTTATAGTTTAACAATACAATTAATAATGAAATTAACGTCATAAAGTTATTGTTTGTAACACAGAGGTGGATGGGGCATATCTCCCCGTGGAGCCGGCTACACGTTCGGACAGGACATCTCGGAGACGTTCAACCACAGCAACGGGCTCACGCTCGTGTCCCGCGCCCACCAGCTCGTCATGGAGGGGTACAACTGGTGTCACGACAGAAACGTCGTCACTATATTCTCAGCACCCAACTACTGCTATAGGTACGTCTGCGACTTGTATTTGTCATTGGCCTATTTGTGCCGCACAGAATCAAACTTGCAGCTATGTAGAGCAAACTAGCTTCTATTCCAATGTAGTAAGGACTTCGATGTGAGAGCCCAATATTGTGATGTTAACCAGTTTTGGGCAGCTGCTAGAACTGACAAGCGGGTTGCTGAATCATCACTTTGGCTACCCATCAGCAGATGGACAGAGGACAGTCAATAAAGAAATCTGTATAGAAAGTTGTTTAGATTAATATTATACATCATCATTTAATTGAGAGAAATGAAAGTAAAGAGTATTTCTAGCTTGCAGTAGATTGTTATAGTCCAAAATAGTAATAGAATCTGAATCCCGTATTAAAATAATATTCCTTTTTTTTATAAATACATTTTTCTTTGATTATAAAATGACCAAGGAAAATCATTGTTTTCATAAATTTTGTTCAACTAAAGTGGATGTATAACAATCTGATGAGGTTCTTGTTTTTAATGACTGTGTTCTGAGATTCATGTGTATGCCATGTACTATATTTTTTTATTGCTTAGGGCTCACGGCCCTCCTGGTGTTAACGGGTTTTGGAGCCCATGGACATTAAATGTGTAAATATAACCACCAACCTCGAGACACGAGCTGTAAGTCTCGGTTTTACAGTACATCCAAACTGAGACGCATTACTGCTTCGCAGTAAAAATCTGCTGAGTGGTATACCTACCCTTGCGGGCTCACAAAAACCCTTACCACAATTTTCTCTTTGCTTCTGTAATTGACATTTGTCCTTAGAAAGATGGGAAAAAAACTGCTCCAATTATTTTTATAGTGAGAACAATCAAAGCTCCTTAGAATGTACTAAACAAAAAAAAATCGGTTGAAACTCATCTGTTATGTTTTTATAAAGCACAGAGGAAACTTTTAAAGTCACGAATTTTATAGATGTCATGTAAACATGGTTTTGTTTAGTTTTCCGGTGTGGATCGCTGATAACCGGCCTTATCTGTGATAAAAGCTGTTTGTTGAAATAGTATCGAACAAATGCAGTAAAATCTCAGTTTATTATGTAGAATACATACATTTTTCTGTTTGTTTTGTCTGCAGATGTGGTAATCAAGCCGCCATAATGGAATTGGATGATGCACTCAAGTATTCATTGTAAGTATTTCTTGTGCTATTGTTACTTTATCAAAAAACGGAAAAATAGTCAAATCAATAACATCATCAAAAATTTTATGATAATATTGACAGCAGACTACAAGTATGTGCCTTATAACAGTTAGGCAAATTGATGGTATGAAAGTACATCATATATAAACTTTGGAGCTTTCTTAAAAGAAATTATGAATATTTTATTTTATTTATTACAAATAATTTCCTTCAGGTAGAGCTTAATGCCAGGTGGACTTTTAGTATGTTGGTACATATTAGAACAAATGCAACTTCTATTCATGATTGTGGGCATATAATGGATAAGAATGATAAAAATTTACATAGCAAATATGAGTCGACTATTATCAAAGGCGGCAATCTGACTTTTGGACAATGATTGGTAAATCAGAAAAACGAATTATTGACTTTGTATTCCATTGGCAGTCACAAAACTCTTCGGAACGACATCTTAGATAAATAATAGGTTAACTATTAACCTTTATTTAATGCAGGTTTTGAACCGTATTCTTTGAAGGAGACGATTATATTCAAANCAATCTGACTTTTGGACAATGATTGGTAAATCAGAAAAACGAATTATTGACTTTGTATTCCATTGGCAGTCACAAAACTCTTCGGAACGACATCTTAGATAAATAATAGGTTAACTATTAACCTTTATTTAATGCAGGTTTTGAACCGTATTCTTTGAAGGAGACGATTATATTCAAATAAATCTGTATTGACATATCAATAAAATTTTTTTGTCCAAATGTACAGATTGCCGCCTTTGATAATAGACGACTCATATAGTCTTCAATGTGGATTAATACAAAGGGTGGCAAGGTGTATCCTGACCTCTGTTGAACACTGAAATTGTCCTCTAAATACTTTAGTAAAGTTATATCTAAACCCTATCGTTGTTGCCAAACCAATATTTGCCAACTGCACTTTTTCGAGATTTCCACATTTTGACTGTTATAAATAAGAAGATTCAAAAAACAAAAATTTAATAAAATAAAAATTACACAATATGACTTCCACATTATCTTTCCTGGGTTTTGAACGCACTTTTATCAGCTTGACCTGAATCTATCTATATCTGTGCTATGTTTATTTATATAACGTTTATTACACATAAGATTTACTTTAAAATTTGCACACATAACAAGGACTTATGTCAATACAATATAATAAGTTGACAACTTTTTCCTAAAATTTGGAGACTACCAGAATAAAAATATTACAATATTTGATTTTTGAGTCCAGTTTTTCGATTATAGCGTATACATTTTTTTCATTTTTAAACTACACACATTTAATTGGAATGATTATCAGCGCAAAGTGATGACAAATAAAAATCGAGTAACGATCGATTTTTAGACGTGCACTATAGGTGCCTCAGTACAGTGGATACTTAAAGTTTATGACCTTTATCTGCATAACAATAGAGTTTATATTACCGTTGGAGATATTATAGTAGTGTATGATGTTTGTCCACAGCCTGCAGTTCGACCCCGCCCCGCGCCGCGGCGAGCCGCACGTCACGCGGCGGACGCCAGATTACTTCATGTAGGCTGCCCGTGAGTATCATACGACTTTGTTTCTATTATAAAAATAATATATGTTACTTGTGGTTACTCACAGCTCAAGTCAAGGAAAAATGTCAATGTAGCTTCTTGTGGTACTGAGAATTGTTTCAGGATAAAAGGAAGCTTGTCACTCTCTTGACCCAATCATCACTTGTAACAAAAAAGTCAACCCGTTGCTTTGTTTCTACATCAAAAAGGGACAAACAAACACACCCTTTCACATTTATAATATAAGTATGGGTAAATGTAATTGAGAGGCGGTATATTATTATAAGTGATCTAATTTACCGGTGTATTGTAAAGGCACAAGAATAGACATCACCATACACTCAATGTTGCTGCCAGTTTTCCTTATCACGACACCGCATATGTCGGGCAGTCCACCAGACAGGCCGCGACATCTCCACTATCAACATTCGGTCACCGGTGTCTAAAATGCACTAATGTTATACGTTTTGTGTTTGTAGAAAAGGCGCATATCAAGCAGGAGCCGTGCCAGAGGCCCCCTGCCCCCCGCCGCCTCGCCGCTTCCCCGCGCGCCCCCCCGCCACGGCTCCGCCACCACTACTCGCGTTCTGCACGCCGTCACACTACTCAACACAAACACTATAAACCCGTTTACACAGAATATGACACAGGACCATTCGTCAACTTACGTTCTTTAAACATTTTATTAACCGGAATCGAAGGGCCCAAGGGCGTACGTAACAAACCTTGTCATTTGTCGAATTGGCAATGGTATTATACATATTGTTAAAATTTAACAAAGACCTTAAATGCATTGTATAAGATCGCGCGCGAGCGTGTCAAACTATAAAATGCATATTACGAAGATTAGTACAAGGTTTTTTTTTAAATCGTGATTTTTGTACTGCTCATTCTTGCCCGTGGGGTCCATCGATTGCGTTCCTGCAAGTTCAATTTTCGCGTGAATGTGTGCGTGTGTGATGCGAAGTGTGTTCTGTACGCGGACTTATTCTGGTGCGTTTTGAAAATTCGTTTAAAGTGCGCGTATCCACAAAACGTTACGAGAATAAGGCCCCTCTGCTGTTCCATTTTTTAAATCCTGTACGTGCGAGATTGCTAGTCAATGTGTGATTGGAATACGTTATTGTTGTACACACACTGCAACCGGTGTAGTAGTGGAACGTTTTGTACCTTCAACGTGTGCTTTAAATTCGAAACTTGGTCTAAATTGTGTCAAATAGTAAGTTGTGGTCGTACTACGCGGTGTTGACTTCAGCGTCAGAATCGCGCGAATATTAATGTCGAAATTATAATAGTTTGGAAACAATCGGTGTTCTATGTATATTGCAAACGATTATTAATCTATGTCCGTACACATAATTATAGATTTATCTTTGGTAATATAGATAGAGTATCGTTGAACGCATGTTTCGTATCGAAAACGAGCAGTCCAATATAGAGAGATTGTAAAGTTTTAAAGGTGATTTTGTAAAATGAACTAAGAAGCTTTATAGGGAATTTAGGTAACGTCTGATGAAAGTACATATTTGCGTAAAGTTTTCTTGTTACATTTTCTGCGTGACGGTTAAATGTCGCGCGTCACGTGTGACTAGAGTTCACGTTAGTAGAGGAGGGCGGGGCCAACTAATTGCCCCTTGCACGGCTTCACCGGACAGTATTTGTTGGATGAGAAATTTTAAACTAGCCTTACCTGACTGACTGGCTTCAAGTTTTGGCGAGATCAATTGAAATTTTTTGTGACCAATATGTGACCAATACACATTAACACGATAGAATGCTTACGTGAAATTTCTCATCAGCAAACACTGTCCCGTCGAGTCGCAGACGTGCGGGCGCGCGCGTTATGCTGGTATGTTCATTAGCAGCCGAAAACAAAATGTATTACAACAATATGTATCAAAGACAATTAGACCTCATTAAACGGCGTTCATTTGCTAACAACGTAGTTTTATTTCGCATCCGCAAGTCACCAACGAATGAACAATGGACATACCATCATAATTCATCATTGGTGACTCTCATCAACTCACAGCTCACTCGGGTCTGATTAGACGCAGAGCTACGAGCGCATCGTTGGTCTGCATGCAAACCGACGAAGCTCAATAATGTATTTATACGCTTTTTATCTACTCAGGTCCGTGTTTCTGTAAAGGTCCGCGTCTTCGATAGTCCGATCTTAACGTGTTCGATAGCGAACAACTGACAATACGTATTTAATAATAAAATTGGTGTTTGAATAGAACCGACTATCGCTGAGACGCTGTCCTTTCGTGTAAGTCTATAAAGAACGTACAACGGATGCACTTTTATATATATATGTGTGTAAACTTATCGATTCGTATTTACATTCTTCAATCGAACAATTCAGTAAATAATACATTAGAATAAGAATTGTTAAAGTTATTCCACTCATTAGCCGTTTTGAATGTTCGCAAACATTACGTTACACAATTACAAGCGACCATCTCATTATTATTATTTTTTACATAACCATCGTTGTACACTTTGTTCAACGGCGCGCATTTAATTTTATGGCAGAATGGTATTTTTTTATGTTTAGTATAATTATTATATTTAATTATGAATGAATAGCCCGACTGTAAGTCTTATAGAATATTAGTTATTAATGTATTCCCAGTGCAATCGTTCTGTCATAAAATGTCGAAAAGTGCATTAATATATTGTTTATTCCATTAAAGATTCAATTTTCTTTTCGAGTGACCAGTACCTGTAAAAGATGGAATAGTGTTTCACAATAGTGGAGCTTTAAGTTGGTATAATTTAATTATTTTAGGTAATTGTGTAAATACCTAATGATGAAGGCATTAAAATAGATTTTTTTATTGTTAAGTGTATGTTTGGAATGTCTCATTTGGTTAAACACTTGACACGGCACCGGAGCGAGGTAAGTAAAACTATTAAATTTTAATTGCGATGTCATTACCATAGATGATAGAAGTAAGAGGATATGCAATGATGTTGACAACCAATTTGAGCCACCATTATTATATACGCAGATGCAATTTGATACAAAACTTCCTCTGAAATTATTGACCTTTGATTTATCGATATAATATTATGCATGTTCATTATTTGTTAACAATATTATTTATTGTAATATTTAACACTAGTTGACAATAATACGTTCCTTACATTGTGATGCTATGTTATACACTTAATATTATTTACATATTCGTGTGACATGATAACTTCCTAATAAGTTTTCCAGCAGAAGAAGCTGAAACGCATGTTATTTTTCAACTTTCATGAGGATCCAGTGCTTCATACTATGCAGAATATCATAGTCGGATTTAGAGATTAAAGAACCGAAATGTATGAATTTGTTGATATTTTGTTGTTCAGTGTTACTACAACATGCCTCTTGTCACGCATCCCCTCTTACTTCAATTGAATTTATTCAAGTTTGTAGTATTTTGACACGGATAAGTCATTACATAAGTGTGGAGGTGACTTTATATATAACGTCCTATCAATGTTATCACTCACATGCATGTAAGACCTTGTCGACCTTTTTAAATATTTGAACGTTTTGGTCTTTTAAAGTATTCTAAATTCTTTATCTTTATTACATAATAAAATCATTCTTTTATTTGTAGTGTTTGAACTGACAAAAGTAATAGTCGAGTTAATGTCTCGAAATGAAAACACAAAACACTTTTGTTGGTGCCATCAAATTAATTTAAGAAAATTAATTCATTAGATTTCAAAAATAATGAATTTGATTTCCAACTATTTGTTTTGGAAACGCGTGTGTCGTAAAATATACAAAGAGTATGCCCACCAACGACACCTGAAGCCACACGTTTCATTGATCTTAAGTATTAAGTATGTAAGTTGTAGGTAAAATAAATAATAAAAAAAAAGTAAAAAAATACAAAAAAAATTATTAAATATATAATGATTCTGAGCGTCTCTAGCGTGGAATAAAAGTATAGTACAATGATAACTTGTTCGGTTCTAATTATTTCACACTAAAGACACTTGTATAAATAATTAAGGCTTTCCTGGAAAATGCATAGAAACGCGAAGCCACTGTTGGAAACAAATCTTTTTGTACCGGACGCCGCTAGAAGGTGTGCCACAAGTAATGTTCTCGACTAGTTCAACTCTATGGCAATAATAATATGTAACAGATCCGTTAAAATAATTTATTCTTGAACTCTGTACTATGCCCGTTGATAGGAAAATAGATAATAAATAAAATTAATCGTAAAAAAAAAGATTTTTCTTTTCTCACCGTATTTATTATATAACCACCTCTTTGATAATTAGTGTCGGGCGGGTAGGCGAGAGTAGCAGGGGTCATCAGTGCATCATCGCTTCCAGGTCTCGTCATTATATTACTCTAGAACGGCCATTTCAGATCTACAAGTTTGATATTTTGCTGAAAAACAAATTGTAGTCCTGTCAGCCTCTGAAGATATGATTTATTGAATTTCGAACAATTCCAGTGAGCACTTTAGGCCTTACGGTACAAGATACAGAGAACCAGTTCGTAGATTCAGAGGTTTCTGAAGGAAATGAAGAGGATTTTTAAAATCATTCTTACATAGAATTTAAAATAATTTTCAACTCATAGGTATCCATATTTTTTTATTTTTTTTATTGCTTAGCTGGTTGGACGACCTCACAGGCCACCTGGTGTTAAGTGGTTACTGGAGCCCATAAACATCTACAACGTACATGCCGCCACCCACCTTTACCCCCTGGCCACAGCCAAGAGCGGTGCGAATTGCGGCGCGGCAAGAGGCGCGATGTGCGAGTGAAACAAATGTACTAGCCAAGAGGCGGCCACAGCTCGGAGCGGTGCGCGCGGCGGTGTCGGTGGACGCATTGAGGGATCGCGCGACCGAAACAAATCATTTTGTTTTTACCGCGCGTTGAGCTAATAAAATATAATGGATGTGGAACAATTCATTAGTGTAATACTGAGTAGACCAGAAATATGGGTGTCAAAACATCCACAACATAAATATAGGCATGTTATAAAAAAAATGTGGGACGAAATAAAACAACAATTTTCTGGTAGTAGTGGTTTCATAGATACTTTTGGATAGGATTATTGAAATAAAATTTGAAATTTGAATTGATTTCGTATTCTAGATGCTTGAACTGTTGCTCGATTATTCCGTCTTGATCTGCGTACGCTATTGTGAATATTGGAGTCTTCAAACTGGGAAACAAACTGCTGAAAATCTGCATCTCTGTCTCGCATCTTTTTCTCATATAATATTGTGTAACAGGCACGAAACCTTTTTAATCAATGTTGCGTGCTTTTTGTTTTCCTTTACACTTTTCGTAAAAATACGAAATTGATTAGTTACAATACCAAACGCGTACTGAATTGTGACTCTTGCTCGTGATAATCTTTTGTCGAAAATTATTTATTCCGCATTTAAACCACCCGGTGGATATGGGCGCATTTAATAATTTTTAAGGCTTCATCGCCAAGTAAAACGTATGGTAAATTGAGATGTGAACCTGTAATCTCTGTGAAGGTTGAATCTATTTTCTACTATTAATCTATTTATCGGGATAGTTCTTATATTCCTAATAAATAGTGTGAAATTCGTGAAGTTCTCTCCTTTTCTAACTGGGTGCGCTCCTATTCTTGATTGAATAATATCTTCAGCTAAGAACGCACTTATTTCAAGGTAATATCATGCCACTGTTGATAGGGACCTTTGATAGGGCTCTCTAAATACGCGCATCTCTGACGCCGCGGCGGTCGCAACTAGTCTAGCTGTGGCATACCACCGCAAATCGCGCCGCCCGCCGCGCCTCGCAACGCACCGCCAGTAGCTGTGGCCAGGCCCTTAGATATGAGTTCTAAGGTCTCCGTATAGTTACAATTGCTGCCTCACTCTTCAAATCGAAACGCATAACTGCTTCACGTCAGAAATAGCCGGGGTAATACCTACCCGTGCGGACTCCCAAGAGGTGCTATCCAGTAAAGAGATCCTGCCACCAATTAGAAGTACTGCGGTAGGACATTTTTCGTATTGGATAAGTATGAATATTTGTGTCGTACCGGAACTATACTCCAATTGAAACTGGTAGCCGGTATTTTGTGCATCTGAATTTGAATAATGAGCAGCTCGTTTTGTGTTTTTTTATAAGTTTATCTTAGGACAGAAACTTCACACCACGAATACTGCCATCCACCTTGTGACTTGAGGTCAAAGTATAGGTAATTGCATAAGAAGCGAAATGTTTAAATATCAACTTATGACAGCATCACGGCAAAAATGGGTACGACATTGTAATTACCATATATAGGTTGATCTTACAATATGTACTACTACTCAAAGTTAAGGTACGCAAGAAAAGTTTCATTATTGAGAAGAGTACTGTTCTGTTCTTTTCTTAATTATTCATGCCGGTAACAGTAGTTTAAAGCCAAAACGATTCAGCACCATTCATTTTCAGGACATGCTGTTTCTCTATGTGACTCGTTGCACACTCCTAAGCGGATTCCGACTTCCATGGCCTGGAGTTACAATTTACTTTATAATTGACAGATACCAACAATCTCTCTATTAAGTACTAGCTGACCTGGCAGACTTCGTAGTGCCTCAATCGATAAATAAAAGACCTAAGCTTTTGTATAAAATAAACTTAAAACAAACAAAAGGAATCCGTCCGACGGGCGGGGGACACATCAAAGTAAAAACCAAATTGTTATATTTATTTAATTCCGAGCATTTTCATATTTATCTACCTTTTAAACTTTCTCTGGAATTTCACAAATAATTCAAGACCAAAATGAGCCAAATCCGTCCAGCCGTTCTCGAGTTTTAGTGAGACTATCTATATAATAATATACTATATAATAATATATACTTCAATTGAACAGATTTGGTAAAAATGATGAAAATTACATTTTAGATTTTCAACTTTTGAGAAAGTGAACAGTTCGTAGAATTGCAAGGTTGGTGATCATGACATCGTAAGAAGTCAATCACTATACTGAAAGGTATTAAGTGAAGATTAAAAAAAAACAGTGAAGATGGTTGCAAAGACGAGTTGTACAGGCCGTTTGCAAATTAAAAAGGTATGGCTGTCAAACTATCAAACAAAAAAGTGTCAAAACTAAAACCAGAAGACGAAAAGTAGGTAGGTAGGTAAGTAAACAAACAGTCCAAATAATTTCTAAAAATATTGTATTGTAGTGTCATGTATTGCGGTATATTTGTTATTGAATCTAGGGTCTAGTACAATTCTTAAAATTTTAGTATTTTCGGTTAAATATGAGTCTATCATTTATTATAGGTAGGTTTCGAGGAAACAAAAAAAAACTACCTTGCTCAACTTCTCGCTGGTTCGAGATGCGGGAGAAGTACGAACAGTGAATATGAGCTGCACAGGCGAATGCCTGAAAACAGGTGAGCGTGATGAGCATGAATCTGTCGGCCAAACTTGAGGAGCTCCAGGGAGGCGACCGACAGCTGGAAACTACGGCCGCACTCTGCGAGATCAGAACGCAGCTGCAAGAGTTTACCAAGAGCGTGGAGTCATGCCAGAGTGAAGTTTCAGAGGTAAACACTACAATTTATTCACAAAAATTTTAATTCAGCTTAGCAATCCGCGAAATTGATTTTAGATTTATAAATAGATACGCCTTAACGAAACTAAAAGTATTATAAAGCAATTTATTTATTAAATTCCAATTATGTTTCTCACGTTTGTTGAAATTGCTGTTTCAAACTTTATAATATTCATATTATTGTTCCTCATTTTATTATTTTGGGAAGTGCAGCAGAATTTAATTCCACCAAATAGTCTAACTATGATCATGCTTCTGCTATTTCCATAAATCTACTATATATTTCACATTGTCATCGTTGATGAATTTACTACTACAGCAAATATACAAAAAAGCCAAAATTATATTTGTGAATTAATAGGTTTCTACAAATTGTCATATTTTTAGAAGTAAACTATGTACAGTTACATTTTGAGAAAAACAATCTACAAGAATTTAATTTAATTTAATCCTCGGGATGCAAATTTGTTGACTGTACCTCAGTACTGTTATAACATCAAACATAACACATGTTTAATCTTGCAATTTATAAATGACAATAGCAGTAGTCATGTAATTGTAAGACTGTCACTAACTAACGTGTGTTTAACAATTAATTCTTAAAAGCAGTTCAATAGTAAGTTTTAACTAAATTAAACTGATGAACAGTTTATTAACCAATGAAAGGTTTACTGTTTTAGTGGAACCTTTAACAGAGTGAATAATTTCAAGGATTTTTAATTTATTAAATAGTAAATTGGGCACCATAAACCATTATTGCTAATTATTAAATTGCATAGAATCAACAAAGTTCAGAGAGGTCTATAAAGTCGTTAAAGTTTAATATATTTTCATGAATTTGAAGCATATATCTGGTTTTCTGGATGATAAAACCTAGTGGAAAACTTTTACAATGGATTTTGTGAAACATAAAATCAATTTGAGAACAAATTGTACTGGTTCAGGTAAAACGGGATATGGTAGCCATCAAGCAAGAACTGGAGACTGTACAACTGGTGAAGGAAGAAATAGAAGAACTCCGCGAATATGTTGATAGGCTCGAGGAACACACCCAACAGAGGAAACTCAGGCTGCTCGAACAGGTGAGATTCAAATTCGTTCATAATTTTCAAATTACATCTTTAGAAAATTCCAGTTACAAGTCATAAGATAACATCATGAAAAATATGAAAGAAAAATCTATGTACTATAATTTTTATAAATTTTACTAAGCAAATAATGTATTAGAAATCATTTTATTATTTTAAATTTTATCTCGATGGCTAAATAGTCGACAAGGTCACAACCCAAAGAGTTACATAATTAGCTTGAGTACATAGTCACCATATGAAAAGTAACATTAACAAATCTGTCAAAAATATACAATATATTAACTCCTTATTAAACCTATGACGGATTTTTCATTGCCTCAATAATTACTTGGCACATCAGAATCAGACTCATAGAGATTATTAGGCATTTTCAAATATATCTCGACTTACAGTAAAATATATCCAAGACTTATAAGCAAAGAGTTTTAATTCTCAAGGAAGACTTTATTTGGAGAGCTTTATTATGCTTAGGAAAAACATCCTCCTCTATCATATGTTAGGTTGAAATTGAACAGTTTGATTATGACATTATGCTCATACTCACAGGGCCTCACATTCTTCCTGTCGTACGCTATTTTTACGGCGGTGTTGGGAATGCTACAATTCGGATACAACACTGGAGTCATCAATGCTCCTGGGAAAGTAAGAACTAGAAACTAAGACAGTAAAAACTGATGACTAGAACAGTGCTTCTCAACCTTTTTTTCGGACCTGTATTCTTTAATAAAACATTTCATTTATGATCACCTCTCCCCTGATAACTTCCTACTCTCAAAATTGCGGGTCGTTTCTTGTAACATACACGAACATAGACAGTATAAAAAGGAATGTACTGCAGTTTACCAACTCACCGCTCATAGTCTAGTAACTTAGTGAGTTATAGTGTTCATTTTAAACTATACATAGTAGACATAACACTCTAGCAAATTCCGGTCACCGCCCTTGCCGAACCCGTCAGTTGCGACGAAGGGCTCGACAAGTAAATTAACCCATAGACAGCCCACCGAGTTTCTCGCCGGATCTTCTCAGTGTACCGCTTTTCCGATCCGGTGGTAGATTCTGCGAAGCACTGCCCTTGCCGGGCCAGTGTTAGCAACATTCCGGTTTAAGCCGCAAGGAAAAGCTGAAATAGCCTCTCAAGGCTATGAGCATAGGTAGAAAAAAAAGTAAAGTAAAAGTTTGTATAAATTAACCGTTTTCGTATTTCCGCTATTACCAACATTATTGTTATATAACCCCAATCAAACCCTGCCAATCTCTGGGGGTGAGCGCCCTACTGGTTGAGAATCGCTGTAATTAGTACAACTGAAACTGACTTATCAATGTTTTGTGTAGAACATCGCAAACTTCATAAAGGATGTATATAAGAGCCGATACGGGATGGATCTGCACGATGACACGGTCAACAGGCTGTACTCAGTAGCGGTCAGCATCTTCGCCATCGGGGGCATGGTGGGGGGCTTCTCGGGCGGAATGATTGCCAACCGGTTCGGAAGGCAAGTGATTTTTAAAGCCCCGATAGATTTAAGCAACAATTTTTAAATACAATTACTTATGTATTAAGTATTTTATGAGTATTTTTAAATTATTAATTTAATTTGTTTTTTATTTACGATTAAATGTTTTAAGCTTGAATAGTCCTGGCACAGGTTGTGTTTTCATTTTCACTATAATTTCACTAAAGTAACGAATTCGTTTGCAATTATTTCAAACTGCGGTTCTTAATTACTGCTGTTAGCGTAGGTCACGGGAGGGCATATGATTTTTTTCATAACCGTCATAACAGTGTCGCAGCCCACCTTGAGAACATTAATTATTTTAACTCGATGTGGTCTAAAAGATATGACGCCCGGTGTTGTTGTTGTGTTGTATCGAGCGATGCAAGTGATGCGACCGTGCCAGTTTTCAAATCTCGTAAACAGGTGCCTGTTTTTGTAATGAAATACTTAACTCATCTTCTCGAATAAATTTCGAAGTGAGGGATTAACATAGTATTATAAAAAAAACTGACAAGATATATAAATTGCGTGATAACTTGTGATAGGACGTTTTGTTAGTCCGCGCAGGTTTGAAGGGTAGGGCTGCCATTATACTATTCAATCGAAACTTAGGCCTCATGTCTAAAGTAAGGTGATGGCATTCACGTTGTATAGTCCTCTGGTAACCACTTAACACCGAATGGACTGTGGACTCATTCACCTGTCTAAGCAATAGGAAAAAACGATTGACTCTCTGTAGAAATAGGAAAGGCGGTGGATACCACACAACGGCTTCATGATTCAGACTAGAAAGTATTACGTAGAAGAAAGAATGGAAAAGAAGATGGTAAAGAGAGGAATCTAGGGTCGCGTGGTCATCTGAAAAGTCGGACAGGTTGTGACTTTGTGATATCCTCTTGCCCTTTTAACATAATTGCTATTTTTTGTCCTGCCTAATCGCTGGTAGCCATTAGGGGCTATTTCAGCTTCGCTTGGTAGGTGAAGCTGAAAACTGACTGAACCTGAAAAAATAGCCAACATTAGCCCTAGCTAGATCAGAGCTTCGCTGAATCTACTATCGGATCGGAATCGCGATCCACTGAGAAGATTCAGCGAGAAACTCTATGGACTGTGTCTATGGGAATAATTACAGAAAGTGGTTATGGACTGATGCTAGTGTTATTATAGGAAAGGAGGGTTATTGCTCAACAACGTACTCGGTATCGGCGGCGCAAGCCTCATGGGCTTTACCAGGATCTCGCATTGCTACGAATTCCTCATCTTTGGCAGATTTATTATAGGCGTCAACTGCGGTATGTACTTGATATTATACAGCATGATGTTTTTTTATTGTGTAATATAATTAGAGCCCTAAAAAGACTTGGATGGACTTAGGGAAATGGAGATGACGTGTGATAAGTGCGAATGGGGAAATGACACGTTGCGCCGACCTCATATAGTAAGGATATAAGGGCAAGAAAATGTTTTTTATTATGTATGTACGTAATTTCAATGTTCCTTAACACGCTGTTATTAGCTTGATCTCTGTCTGTGTAAAGAAATTTGAAAGGTAATTTTTAACAACCTCAAAACCTCTGTTTAACTTGAAAATTCGCGCTCGTATCAAGGACAACGTCAGTACAAGAATAATATTACTTTGACCTAATCTTCGAGAAGGAAGACAGCTTATAAAATTGTATTTTTAATTTTCAGTCCGGTGTGGGTGTAGTTTTTTTTTTGCGTTTTCAAACTACCTTCATACGTTATATGTTCCCAGTACGCAAATTATAGATTTATTTCTAATAGTAAAAGTTCATAAATTTTATAGAGTTCATAGCACAAAGCCAGCTATGGCAACATACTATATTATATTATGTATGTCAGTTTTCGTTATTACCTTTCTCGTCCAGGTCTGAACACATCATTAGTGCCAATGTACATATCGGAGATAGCTCCCCTGAACCTGAGGGGCGGATTGGGCACCGTCAACCAGCTTGCCGTCACAGTCGGCTTGCTGATCTCCCAGGTCCTGGGCATCGAACAGATTCTTGGAACGGACGAAGGATGGCCAATATTGTTAGGTAAAATAAATAATACATTATGAAGCTGGTATGTGATTGTGTTGCACACAGCGGCACTGCTGATCAGATCTTTGGCCTTTACATCTATACGGAAGAGAACAAATTCTTTGTTTCTTGTCGATTGATAGTTTTTCAGTGGTGAAACTGCATTTTGAATCAATTATAGTTTATATGAATTAAAAGTGTCTGCTTGGACGAAGGTAGCATCTTCGAAAAAGCGGTATGATACTCTAACCTTATTGTGGCCACCTCTAATTATATATGCGACACAGGCGATGGGGAAACGCACTACCGCCGTTTCCCTAAGTATGTCCTATTGTATATCGATCTATTCTCGATGCGTTTAGGCTCTTCAAGCATCGTCCTCGTTGAAGTTGTCGAATTCGACGTGCAAATAAGCCAATTGACACAACCCATTGAGTTTCTCGCCGGACCTTCTCAGTGGGTTCCGTTTCCGATCCGGTGGTAGAGTCTGTAAAGCACTACTCTTGCTAGAACTAGTGCTAGCTAGATAACGGTAAGCTCGCCTCCCCACCCGGGGAAGCTGGAATAGCCCTTCGAGGTTACCAGTAGGTAGGGAAAAAAAGCAAAAACATTTGTATTCGGACGGTTGGTTTCAGGTCTCGCCATCTGTCCAGCGGTTCTACAGTTGGTCCTGCTCCCGGCCTGTCCCGAATCTCCTAGATATTTACTCATCACTCGTCAATGGGAAGAAGAAGCGAGGCGAGCTCTGAGGAGACTGCGAGCTAGTAATCAAGTAAGTGCTGATAGAATTATCATTACAATTCATTATCAATTTTGATTACTCATTAGCGCACTAGTTTTTACTCCCATCTGCTCGCCTGAGAGTCATGGGTTGGAATCCCATATTAGGTAAAAGTTCAAAGTTTCAAATTAAAAGCTTACCCTATGATCAGACCCTATTATCAGAAATAGATTTGAAGGGATTTTCTCTTTGTGCTTTTGGACATGTAATTACGTAGTCAACCTCCCCAATAGGTCGAAGAGGATATTGAAGAGATGAGAGCGGAAGAGCGAGCCCAGCAATCGGAGGCTTCTATTTCGATGCGAGAGTTGCTCTGCTCGCCGACGCTGCGGGCGCCGCTCCTCATCGGAGTCGTGATGCAGCTCTCTCAGCAGCTTAGCGGAATCAATGCGGTAGGTCTCAAGCACTAGGGCATAGCCGGGAGTCGCTTGGAGTCCGTTAATATCCGACCTGAACACCCATCGGCCGGGTAAATTGAACACTTACACTTGCACGTGCGCTTACACTTACACTTGCACTTGCACTTGCACTTACACTTGCACTTACACTTAAACTTACACTTAAACCAACACTTACACATACCCTTACACAACTTTAAATGAAGGTTTCAAACGTCCTTCCAGGACTTTTAATTAATTATAAGTTTATTTTGGTAATAATGAAATTAAAAACTGTTTTATTTGAAATAAGCAATAATATAAATCCAAAGCCGGCGAATCAGGCAATACAGTACCTAGTGAAAGATCATCCACCTTGAGGCCATTCTCGGTTTACGAATCGGGACGTATCATACTTTTGCTGCCAAAGTAAATGACAGGGTTCATACAACCGTAGATTACGGATTTTTTTTCTACAACCCCCGGTAACTATATGATGTGATGTATCTTTAACATCTGTAAGAAAGAAAGAAAGAAAGAAAGAAAGAAAAAAAAATCATTTATTCGCCAAGCATAGTAACAAAGAGTTAAACATAAGTTAAACGAGCGTGTATGCTTTGTCATTATTTGACATGCGAATTTTAGTACAGTGCAAGATATTATAATCTATACTTAATAATATATACTTAGTCTGGCCATAAATACTCTTACAATTAAAAATAAACAAAATATTACATTTGAATTTGGAATCTGTCATTTTTATATGATTGCTCATTGAGTTTTCTCATTTTGGCGCCAATACATTGTACAATATTTTGCGATATTAAAATGGAGTGGTGTGATAAAGAGAACCGAATCGCTGTGATTGCATTACACAAAGTAGGTATGGAGCCAAATACAATTTTAAAACTCTCCATACGCTTGGTATTTGTAAAATGTTTGTGTACCGGGCTATTAATAAAAAAAGATCTGGCCGTCCACGTAGTGTTCGTACGAAAAAGGTGGTCAAAGCAGTAAGGGAAAGAATTCGAAGAAATCCTGTCCGAAAGCAAAAGATTTTATCTCGGGAGATGAAGATAGCACTTAGAACCATGTCGCGTATTTTAAAAGATGGCTTAGGACTTACAGCCTATAAGAGACATACTGGTCATTTCTTAATTGATAATTTAAAAGAGAATAGGGTGGTAAAATCGAAACAACTACTGAAGCGGTACGCAAAGGGAGGTCATAGAAAATTTTTGTTTACGGACGAGAATTTTTTTACAATTGAGCAACAATTTAACAAACAAAATGACCGTATTTATGCTTAAAGCTCCAAGAAAGTTTCCCAATTAGTCGACAGAGTGCAACGTGCACACTATCCGACTTCAGCGATGGTTTGGTGGCGTATTAGCTGTGAAGAAGTGACTGGGCCATACTTTTGTGAAAAAGGTATCAAAACATCGGCACAAGTGTATCAAGATACCATTCTTGAGAAGGTAATGAAGCCCCTTAACAACACCATGTTCAATAATCAATAATCGTCCTTCCAGCAAGACTCGGCGCCGGGTCATAAAGCTGGCTCTACACAGTCTTGGTTGGAAACGAACGTTTCGGACTTCATCAGAGCTGAAGACTGGCCGTCGTCTAGTCCCGATTTTAATCCGCTGGATTATGATTTATGATCAGTTTTAGAGAGTACGGCTAGCTCTAAACGCCATTATAATTTGGAGTCCCTAAAACAATCCGTACGATTGGCAGTGAAAAAATTTCCTATGGAAAGAGTGCATGCTTCTATTGATAACTGGCCTCAACGTTTAAAGGACTGTATTGTAGCCAATGGAGACCACTTAGAATAAGCATTTTATACTTTAATTTGTTTTATATATTAAGTATTAAACTAACACACTGTAAAAGTAATAAAATATGTTATTTGCCATAGTTTTTTTTTTTTTTTTTTATTGTAACAGTATTTATGACCAGATTAAGTATTAATACGTAAAGCAAAAACTTTGTATCCCTTTTTACAAAAATTGCGCCGACGGAGTTGTATGAAATTTTCCACACTTATAGAGAATATAGAGAAGAAGTGCACAATGGTAATATTTTTTTTAAATAATGCATAAAAGATACATTAAATCAATTAAAAAAAAACATTACACACACTGCCATGTATTTGACACAACACATAGATATAAATATACTAGATATTTATTGTCAATTGTCAAACTTTTGTTATTGTTTGTGGTCATGGAGAATAGATCAATATTGTTTGTTTTTCAGATTATTTATCTTTAGTGTAGTTTTGGCGAAATCTGTGATTATAATAAAGAAGGATATGACAATAGAACTGAAATAATCTTTAAACATAACATTTCAATTAATTATTGTCGAATTTCGACTACTGCGGGACCACTAGTATTATATAATTTACCTTTAATTCATCCATATTTATATCGTATTTATCATATATTTATTCAGGTGATAAACTACTCCACGTTTCTCTTCACTTCTTCGGGCCTGACGGAGGAGTCGGCGAAGTTTGCAACAATGGGCATCGGGGCCATCATGGTCGGGATGACGTTGGTGTCTTTGCCGCTGATGGACAGAACCGGACGACGCACCCTCCATCTGTACGGTCTCGGAGGAATGTTCATCTTCTCCATCTTCATCACGATCTCCTTCTTAATAAAGGTGTGTTCTGAAATTGTATTTTGATAGTATTCCCGTGCTGGACTGGCAGGCGAATTGTTTTGTGTGACGTAAAACCGTCAGATTTGTGGACTTCAATACAATGGGACTAATTATGTTCAAAATAAGGTTGTCTTCACATTGGATACATATAAGACTTGTGTGTACATTAAGCAGTGGTTGAAACTCTTATCGTGAGAGCCGAAGGTCGAAGTCACACGAGGCTTAAGTCCTCTGCATCAAGATAAAAATTTCATTTATGGCTATTATCAATTTCGTATATATTGGCTATTTATTGTAATCTTTGCACATTGGCTATGTCATGTTGCTTAATAACGTTGGTGTAGATTTTTTTGTACATATAAAATGTTGTACTTTACATTTTCCTACGATTTGTACTTATTGCATATTAATGTCCCACAAAACCTTAACATACTATGTTGAAAAAAATGTTCACCAATACCGCAGAATCTCTAAACCAAACACTCATTTGGTGGGAAAGGTACAGAATAGCGTCTAGCTATTCCCACCAATATCCTTAAATTTTGATATCTCTGTCCTATGAAAATGATTTCTTCAATACTCTCACTTTTCCATCAAATCTCACGACCTATCTATCTGCTGAAACAGGATTTTAATATTATTAATCTGTATTTGTTGATATTTTTAACGACGCTTTCGCTCGCTTTTTGCTTGTATCCCTTTTTTCATATTTTTTTCTTCTCTTGACTTCATTCTTCCACTCTGGATTACTGTTTTCATTATTCAAATTTATATTATTTCATTGCATTGTATCTGCTGCACGGCTTTTCATTTGCGCAACGGCTGTTTGGTTTCTGAACCAAATATAATTTCGGGAATTAAAGACGTTAATTATCATTAATATTTCGTATATTTTATTATGTTGATTAGAGTATGAAATGATCAGAAATGTAAACAGCCGTCGGTAGCTTCACCCCCCCTCCCCCCCCAACGATTTCTTTCCTGTAACTGAGACCGGTATCTCCGTGCGAACTAGTCTGTGAACTCTCAAATATAAATGCTTAGGACACCATTCACGTGCACACAAAGTACTCACGTAAAGCTTAACGAGGCTACTCACACAAATGCTGCTCAAACGCAGATAGCACTTCACTGATTTTTTAAAACGCAGCTACGCGATGTCCGCATCCGCATCCGTGCTCCCGCGGATACCGCGCGTCAATGGACTCGACATTGTCGTACATTGCGTGCTATGTGAAAAGCATTATTAAAATGTAACTTTTTTAAAATGACTTTCTTAATGTTTGAACGAATTAATATAAATATTTAGGCCTTGAATAGCGGTTATAATACTGCGTACGTACAGAACCTAGTGAGTGTTTTGCATTTATGTTTGTGATTGATTCCGTATTCGGTCGGTTACGGGAAAGGGCACTACTTCTATCCTCTGATAGGAGTTCTTCGGTTATGTGCAGGAAATGATCGACTGGATGAGCTACCTGTCGGTGGTGTCGACGCTCAGCTTCGTGGTGTTCTTCGCCGTGGGCCCCGGCTCCATACCCTGGCTGATCACGGCGGAGCTCTTCTCCCAGGGTCCGCGGCCGAGCGCCATGGCGATTGCCGTCTTAGTTAACTGGATGGCGAATTTCGTTGTCGGAATCGGTTTCCCGAGCATGAAGGTAGACAGAGGAATTGTTTTTCTTTATTTTATTGCCTTTGTAGGCAGACAAGCATACGGCCTAACTGATGGTAAGTGGTCACCGTCGCTCATGGACGTCAGCAATGCCAAGCCGCTGCCTAAATTTCATCGCATTGTTCTTTATAAAACTATTGGTTGCTTTGCCTAATTTAATCACATACTTATTTTTCGACAGCGGCTTTGGTTGTCATAGTTGATGCCCATGATCGACGGTGACCTATAATGCCCATAAAATGAAATTACGAAAATCTTTATTGTGTTTATTGTTAGACGGTAAACGCGCCGATACAATATTCCATTGCTGTTTTATTTTTACCACGTGGCTGCTTAGCATTCAGCTTTGAAGAGTGAGGCCGCTGTAGACAGAACGTAGTCGAGGTTTCTGACTGCGACACGTGCGGCGACTTCCAGACTGCGAGCTCGTCCCTAAATTACATCTCGTAGCGTGTGCTAACAAACTTCCCCCCTCTCCCAACCCCCCTCACGTGTTCCGCAGGCGGTGCTGGACAACTACACGTTCCTCCCGTTCAGTGTCTTCCTGGCGATCTTCTGGATATTCACATACAAAAAGGTTCCCGAGACGAAAAATAAGACCTTCGAAGAGATATTAGCGCTGTTCCGGAATTCGAACGGCAGGTGAGCGAGACAACTACATATGTGCCATCTCTGTCCCGAATCCAATGACCAGTTAATTTAAATCACAGATCGGCAATACGACACTGCTACAGAACCGTCTGTTGTTCGCTTGCAACAATTCCGCACACACAAAACGCGGCCGAGCGGTACGTTATAGTGTGACGGCATTCGGGGCCAAAACGGGCGCCAATTTTTTTTAGATTAAACACTAAAATAACAATTTACACATCAAGCGCTGTGGTTGCTTTTAAAAATTGTGCTGGAATAATTTGGTTTTTAATATTGACATCATGTAATAGCCCAAGAGCCCGTGGGCTCTACCTGTATGTATTTGACCAGACCTGAATTTTCGTACATTGAGACCCCTATACCTACCATGCATGAGGTGGGGACTCACTAAGCTCAAAGTGGTCCACGCGCCGAGCGCTCAGGTAGGACAGGTACCGATTTTGACGGATTTTAAATCCATTTGACCACGTCTGCCGTTTTGAAATTTTGAAAATATATGATTATTATTATCGGAAAATAAGAATGGCAGACCATTATCGCGCATTTTACTTTGTGGCAGACCACTTTGAAAATGCTAAATTGCATTGAAAATGCAAAATTTTGAAAGTAATTGACTAGATCTGCCATTGATTTAATAATATGTTGTTTATTATAGTCTTAAAAACTTATATTGATCACGGCAGACCTCTACATTGCGTACATACATCAACATATAATAAAATCTTAGCTACTACCCGGCCAGATGTATATTATGTTTTCCGTTCACTGTTTTAGAGGAATATAATTTACTTGCGATTTACTTTAGCAATGTATTTACCGAAATTAATATTTTTTTATATTCTATATACTAAACTTCATTAGTTAGACAGTAAAGAAGTGATTTTTTTATGGAATAATTATAAATAATACGCTACAATGCTGATCAAAAAATAATTCAATTCCTCATTTTTATTTCGTCAAGACAAAATTTAAAAGTGTTAAATCAGTTAAAAAAATATATCATGCATGCATTACATATATATCAATCTTCATTCATCATCATCATCATCATCATCATCATCATCATCATCATCATCATCATCATCATAATCATCATCGGAGTCATCTTTATCGTTAGGCGACTCGTCTTCATCAGCCATTGAATCGAATACTGCAAAAATAAAACATAAATTGTAAAATGAACGTAAATTGATCTGAACATGTTCGAGAAAGAATTGTTATCAACTTACGAGGAACATTGGTGATTAAGTCACTCACAAAAGATGGAAGTTGGTCACCTTCGAACCATTTGAAGGCATATATGTTGTCTTGCTCAATCCAACCATACTCCAATGGGTCTAAAGTTGTGGATTGCTTTTTGTAAGCATTTCTCCTAATAGAAGAAATATAGTGGGCCCTCAAAATTTGTTGATAAAGCTCACTCTTACACGGTGGTATTGAGCTTGCCTCAAAATTTTGATTTTTTTTTCTATAATTTTCATTGATGTCTGAATCTTTATAGTTGCTAACGAATAGTTGAAACCTTCCATCATCTACTAGATTTTTTGGCATTGTATAGCTGGCAAGTTAAATATTGAATGATGTTAAATAGCTCTTGTAGCTGATCCTCTGTTAAATTTTCTTCACCAAGAGTAGCAAATGCTTGTTGATATTCAGTACTATTCTTCAGCAAAGTATTTTCTTATATTTTCTTCCCTTTATTAAAGAAAGTTGGATTAAAATCACATCCAGTAAATGCATGAAACCCACTATACCATGGTCCACTATATTTCTTTACTTATTTGGAGAAATCCTTACAAAATTTCTTCACTTATTTGGAGAAATGCTTACAAAAAGCAACCCACAACTTTAGACCCATTGGAGTATGGTTGGACTGAGCAGAACAACATATAATATACCTTCAAATGGTTCGAAGGTGACCAACTTCCATTTTTTGTGAGTGACTTAATCACTAATATTCCTGGTAAGTTGATAACAATTCTTTCTCGAACATGTTCAGATCAATTTACGTTCATTTTACAATTTATGTTTTATTTTTGCAGTACTCTATTCAATGGCTGATGAAGACGAGTCGCCTAACGATAAAGATGACTCCGATGATGATTATGATGATGATGATGAATGAAGATTGATATATATGTAATGCATGCATGATATATTTTTTTAACTGATTTAATACTTTTAAATTTTGTCTTGACGAAATAAAAATGAGGAATTGAATTATTTTTTGATCAGCATTGTAGCGTATTATTTATAATTATTCCATAAAAAATTCACTTCTTTACTGTCTAACTAATGAAGTTTAGTATATAGAATATAAAAAAATATTAATTTCGGTAAATACATTGCTAAAGTAAATCGCAAGTAAATTATATTCCTCTAAAACAGTGAACGGAAAACATAATATACATCTGGCCGGGTAGTAGCTAAGATTTTATTATATGTTGATGTATGTACGCAATGTAGAGGTCTGCCGTGATCAATATAAGTTTTTAAGACTATAATAAACAACATATTATTAAATCAATGGCAGATCTAGTCAATTACTTTCAAAATTTTGCATTTTCAATGCAATTTAGCATTTTCAAAGTGGTCTGCCACAAAGTAAAATGCGCGATAATGGTCTGCCATTCTTATTTTCCGATAATAATAATCATATATTTTCAAAATTTCAAAACGGCAGACGTGGTCAAATGGATTTAAAATCCGTCAAAATCGGTACCTGTCCTACCTGAGCGCTCGGCGCGTGGACCACTTTGAGCTTAGTGAGTCCCCACCTCATGCATGGTAGGTATAGGGGTCTCAATGTACGAAAATTCAGGTCTGGTCAAATACATACAGGTAGAGCCCACGGGCTCTTGGGCTATAATGTAAGAAGACATTATTAATACACAAGAATAGTTATTAAATGACTTTTCAATTTAATTAATATAACTTACTAGCTGTAACCGTCCGGTTCGCTGGGCATTTAAAATTAACTTTATTATTTCTCACCCCCACAAAGGTTCTCATCATTAACGCCCCCGCAACTGGTGTAGGGGGTCTAACACCCATATAAATATTAGCTTATCCATTAAGCACATGTATTTTCTACATGGATACCAAGTTTCAAGTCAATCGGATGCATGGTTCAGTAGTTATAACGAAACATCCGTAACAACCACTGTAAATTTATATATTAGTATAGATTACATTTCTGTTAGTATGAATGGCACGAACGGAAATTAAATAACGTAGAGCCGTCATTTTTGCATGATCACAACTAATCCCCGCTGAGAGTTATAGTTTGTCATGAGCGTGCCACTCGGTTGTGTCTAGGGACAGCTTCCGCGACGACCACATCTACGGCAGCGCGCTGAACTGCGTCAACGGTTTGGAGCAGCAGCTGCTCCCCCCGCCGCCGCCGCCCCTCCCCGCGCCCCTCGACGTCAAACGCGACTCAGGCAAGTCGAACTCTACGCTTTAAGTTTGCACGTTTGTTTAATGATGCGATAGAACCGATCGCGGACCTTACAATTTTTTTGTTGTTGTTGGTTAGGTGGGTGGACCAGCTCACAGGCCACCTAGTGTGAAGTGGTTACTGGAGCCCATAGACATCTACAACGTAAATACTGCCACCCACCTTGAGATATGAGTTCTAAGGTCTCAGTATAGTTACAACGGCTGCCCCACCCTTCAAGCCGAAACGCATTACTGCTTCACGGCAGAAAGGCGGGGCGGTGGTACCCGTGCGGACTCACAAGAGGTCCTCCACCAGGCTTAGGCTGAACCTTAGGCAGGAAAAAAAATGACGCTTTTTAAGAATAACTCGTAAATGTTTTGAAATTCGGCTGACGATAAACGTAACGTTTCCAGTGTCGGAGCAGTGGTCGGGGGGAGAGGCGGGCCGGCCGCCGCCGCGGCTCCCCGCCACCCGGCACGTGTAATGAATTATCAATCGTATGTATACACTGGTAGGGATGAAAACGATCTATCCGTTTCTCACATAATTATATAATAAATCTATCGCCTCCGAATAAGTAACGCTCAAACAATTGTATAAAAACCGAAGCTAGCGTTTCGATAGAGGTTCGTTTAAAAACTGTGAAATTACCCCCCCCCCCAGCCTCCCCTCCCTCTCTTTCTCCCTTCTCGTCCTAAATCCTCGCATGGATTCTTATTATTCATGCATACGCGTTCCTTCTAAGTTAAGGTCCTAAATTAATGCGACGAGGCCAATCAATCAAGAATGGCTCGAAGACACAGCTGATGATATTTAAGAAAGTAAGACATTTTACCACACATGACAATGTATATATACACTATGTTATCTACACTATGTATATTAGGATATATAATGTAATTGTCTCTGTACCATATTGTTTATAACGCGCAATTAGCGACAAACAATAAGCACTGTGATTTTATTATTATTATTATTATTGATTATGTATATACTTTTATTGTATTGATTTGATGTTGATTTTTTGTTATCTCGAAGACTGAGTTTTGTTTAGTTATTGAATTGATACATTATGGTTTTAAGTAGTCAGTAGTCGCAAGTCGGTTAGAGAAAGATTTGAGACGGAATTGATTCAGTTTATTAATAAAACAAATACAATAAGACTATGAGGAAATGTAATAAAGTAAAAACTGTTTATTCGCGGTGTATACATTCCGTGAATATGTCGCGTATGCAGAAACTGTGAATATGGAAAAGTGCGTTTACAAAGGATATTAGGTTGGATACTGGTGGTAGGACCTCTTGTGAGTCCGCGCGGGTAGGTGCCACCGCCCTGCCTATTTCTGCCGTGAAGCAGTAATGCGTTTCGGTTTGAAGGGTGGGACAGCCGTTGTAACTATACTGAGATCTTAGAACTTATATCTCAAGGTGGGTGGCGCATTTACGCTGTAGATGTCCATGGGCTCCAGTAACCACTTAACACCAGGTGGGCTGTGAGCTCGTCCACCCATCAAAGCAATAAAATAAAAAAACCTACACATTGCAATTCTTTTTATCAAGGCGTATGTATCGATTAAATCCGCGAATAAATAAATCTTTAGCCGCGAATCTAGGAATTGGGTAGCATTTTTTTTAATCCGTGAATAGTGAAAACGAATCGAATGAAGAAAGCGCGAATAAGGACTGTAATGAAATCGATTTATAGCGATGGTTCATCAGAAACATAATCATTGTCCAGCCTTCTATTTACCAAATAAGTAACAAATTAATTGTTTTCCATTCTTAGAGAATAAATAGGAATTTAATACATGTCAATGTAACTCTGCTAGAACTTCTCAATCATTTTATACATAATTCAACGCTTGAAAGGCAAACGTGACTAAGCGACAATGCTTGAATTTTACAATAGACTAATTTAAAGTTGAAATACCTGAAAACAAAATCTATTTTAACGAATCTAGCTCTAGGGTTGAAATGATTTTAATAGACCTACAAAATATATATTTTTTGCGCATCGAATATGGTTATTGCCTATCATTTATGTACAAAGCAGTTATGGTCGCTTAGTCACGTTTGCCTTTCGAGCGTCGAATTATATTTTCAATTAATCTAATTGCTACAAAAAGAGATGTTAAGGCAGTATGCGACTACAACCTCTGCCTGTTTATTTTTTATTTGACATAAAATGTCTGTCAAGCATAGATTCATCACTTCGTTCGTTTGAATTTTGCTGATTTTGCTCAATTCATAAGTCCTAGTAGTTTCGTACAATCTGTTGTTATACAATCTGTTGTTAGTAGTTGTTATATATCAATCTGTGTACTTCCTCTGGTTCATCCCACTGAAGAGGGCATGCCCTATATGTAATCTCACATCACTGACTTGTTTCATTTCGTTTTTGATAATTAAGTATTCAGACAATACCACCTCGAGAATGATGGGTGCAATTTCGTTAAGTATCTATCAATTATGTAATCGTTTTTTTTTTTTAATTGGGCATCAAAACGGTGTCGCCATTAATGATTAAATCTGTGTAAGTTACATGCTCAAATGAAATGGTGCCCCTGGTCCTCAATCGCTCATCCTATGAAAGGATGTTGTTAATTGTGCACTCAAAACATTCCTTGTTCAGCTAGTTGATGTTCGACTTAAAATACGTTCAGTGTGTTTAGTGCGAATGTTCTAACGTTCTCGATAGCGTAAAAGTTAACTCATATTTGTATGGAATGGGATCGTTTGCGTACGTTTGCCGCTAGGGGCGTTGTTTTAACTGCATACAAAATTGAGTTAACTTTTAAGCCATCGAGAACCTTAAAGAACTCGCACTAAGCACACAGGAATAAGAAAGTTTCTTGTTATTGTGTAAAAAGGTATCTGTGCGTCTTCACTGTACACAATCGAATAAGTTAATATGTTAGAAATAAGTTAATTGCGGATAGATGGCTCCCGCTGTCTTTGAGTGTGGTTCCAAATGAACTGGTCGTAATTAAAATTATTTCCGTAAGAGTGAAATTGTGAAGATGACGCCATTAACTTGCTAGGCAAAACATGGCGTACGTGACTGTATAGGTATTTAAAACTTTTTTTAAGCGCGTTGTTTTCTGTGCGTACGTCATCAGAAAGAGCACTGTTTAGATGAATTTCTAGAAGGTAGGCATGTTTGAATATTACCTAATATATAAAAAAAAATTGGGGCGGAGCCCCATACTCTATAATCATGTATTTCAACGATATAAAACCCAAGGTAGAGAAGCGCGTGGGATATTTAGATAGGTATTGAAATAAATGTTAAAAGTTTCAAAATCTGTTTTTATTTATTTATTTAACTCAGTGAAATAGGGTGAAATAGGTATAAGTGGAAAATTGTTTAAAAAACCCTGTATACTATTTATAATACTATAATCTTTTATTACAATATTTTATTATCTTTGTTAATTAATTTTGAACTTTGAACTTGATGTTTAAAATATAATGATTATTTTTGCGGTTTTTTTTTTGGTATGCGGATTATATTAACGATATAAAAAGTTTTAATTGTTACATTTATACATTTACTAAATTCGGCCAATAAAAATGATTTGTACAATTTTTTTGGATCCGCACATTTAATTCAACTACGCACAATTATTTTGTTTGAATTGAAATGCAGTGAGAAATGCACGAACCGGAGATGGCATATTAATATTTGTTAACCTCGTGTTGGCTCAACGCATACCTACTGCTAATAAGCAAAGATGCGTAATTAAAAAAAGTCCTTAATTCTAAGATCTAGTCAAGAATATGTGATGTTAATCCTTAAAACTTTTTTTAAATTAATTTTATGTATACACTATATGGACTAGGATAAAAAACTAAACGATCTCGTGAAAGGAAATGGACAAATACCTACATTTGTCGGTGCCATAGAAGTTATTTAACGCGACTTATGCTTGAATTGGATAATAGAGATTTATGAGGTCGTATGACCGCCAGTCACGTCTCAAGTCGTAAGATTCATCGATGTTAAGTATGTTAGTTAAATATAACAGTAAGCTATATAGTTGTATGTATAAATATAAAAATATAAAAATAAAAAAAGATTTCGTGATAATTCTGAAATAAAAATATGGTACAGTATTAACTTGTTTCTATTTCACATTATATGGTTGTTTAAAGCTTCCTTCTCTATTTTTTTTACTATTTGAACCGGCTTTGAACAATTATTACTTATGCCTTAAGAAAATAAAAGCCTTAAGAAATTTTTACTAGTGGTAGGACCTCTTGTGAGTCCGCGCGGGTGGGTACCACCACCCTGCCTATTTCTGCCGTGAAGCAGTAATGCTTTTCGGTTTGAAGGGTGAGGCAGCCGTTGTAACTATACTTGAGACCTTAGAACTTATATCTCAAGGTGGGTGGCGCATTTACGTTGTGGATGTCTATGGGCTCCAGTAAACACTGGAACGTCGACCTCCATGACGACCTGGACTTAGAGTCCATCAGTAAGTATCTGCAGTCGGCGTCCATGCGCCACTTCGATAAAGCGGCACGACACGAGAACCCTCTCATCGTGGCCGCCGGTAACTACATTCCCGATCCTGCGGACAGAATGGAAAGCAGTCGACGTCGCCCTAAACACGTCATCTCGGATCCTCCTGATCCACTAACGGTGCTTTTAGGTACTTCAAGCACCGGTCACCGTTCTCGTCGAACCCGTCGCTTGCGACGAAGGGCTCGACGAGTAAATTAACTCTCAGACACAGCCCACTGAGTTTCTCGCCGGATCTTCTCAGTGGGTCGCGTTTCCGATCCGGTGGTAGATTCTGCGAAGCACGACTCTTGCTAGGGTTCGTGTTAGCAACATCGTCAGGTTTGAGCCCCGTGAGCTCACCTACTAAAGTTAAGGCTACGCTGAAATAGTCTCTGCTAGGCGCTATCAGCCTTCTAGTAGGAAAAAAAAAAAAAAAAAAAAAAAAAAAAAGTAAACACTTAACACCAGGTGGGCTGTGAGCTCGTCCACCCATCTAAACAAAAAAAAAAAAAAAGATTTAGCTATTAGCTAAGACCGTCTGTAGAAAATTATACAAACAGAGAAACAACAGATCGAACGTGTCATAAGCCACGGTACATGGAATGAAAATGAGATTTGTTAACCAAATCTTAATAACAGATATTAGCCAATGGTCATATGACAAGCCGGTATCGGGGGTAACCTGTATTCTAAACGATTATTCCAATTTTAACTTAACAAGTGTGAGAGTAGCAATTTACAAGAGATTTTCTTTGTGTGTGCATAATTTATCTCAGGTCTGGGATAACTCAGTCGCGACGGTTAAGGAATAAGTTCACGATTGACTTCCACGGTGAAGGAATAACATCGTGTAATAAAAATCAAACCCGCAAAATTATAATTTGCGTAATCGCTGGTGGTAGGACCTCTGGGGAGTCCGCACGGGTAGGTACCACCACCCCGCCTATTTCCGCCGTGAAGCAGTAATGCGTTTCGGTTCGAAGGGTGGGGTAGCCGTTGTAACTATACCTACTGAGATCTTAGAACTTATATCTCGAAGTGGGTGGCGCATTTACGTTGTAGATGTCTATGGGCTCCAGTAACCACTTAACAACAGGTGGGCTGTGGGCTGGCCACCCATCAAAGCAATAAAATAAAAAATCACAGTTATGGGCAATTTCTTGTCTTTTAGCAGCGCTACCACGACTCGCTTGTTACCACGACAAATGTGAAGTTCTAGCTACGCGCGGACGGATAGACTAGCTCATGGGCTTGACCTGATAGAATGTGTAAACACTGGCCTCAGCAAAAGCAGTGCTTCGCAGAATCTACCACCAGATCGAAATCACGACCCACCGAGAGGATGACTGAACTCAGTGGGCTCTATCTATGGGTTAGTTTGCTCGTTGAATTCTTCACGATTTCGACGAGGACGTTGACCGGTGCTTGAAGGGCCTAAAAGCACTGAGAGTGGATCCGCGGGATCCAACATGTTACAAGAGACAACCCCGATAAGTGAGTTATCGCGTCCCGCCGAAGTAGCATTCAGACGCTAACTTAACATACGTATCGGTTCTAAATTTAGGTCGTCGTGAAAATCGATATTCCCATGGTGCTCCGACGGCTATCTTGCAGCACGGGATTGGATGACCTGGGGAGAGCTTATGTGCATGCGGACCGCGTGAGCGAACACTACACTTGCATAGGTCATGACGGAACGTATACAAGTTTTGTAGTGACAACTTGTTACAGAAGGGACATACTTCGCTTGCAGATTATGGAGAGAATTGAAGTATTTGCGCAACATTGCCTTAGTGCGACGAACACATGGTTGATTCAGCTTAGGAATTTTAAATTGAGTCTTTTATTGTAGCACGACACCAAAAAAATTTTTATTTAATTTTTTGTACAACCCAGTTTTGATTTTCAATGAAACATTTTTCAATTTTCAATGAATCATTTTTCAATGAAACACAGTTAATATACAAATACACATTTATTTATGTACATGCGTGTAATATAAAAACAAAACCACGTTTTTGTATCTTTGGTGGATACAATACAACGAACCGTTACTATTCATTTATATATATATCAATTTATAACATTTATTCTATATAAAAAATATACAATATATGTAATAATCTAATACTCAAATTATGATCTGCCTCACTTTCTCTGTTCATTCTTATTCTGCACCATTTTCGAAAGCGGAATGAACCATTTTATATGTAAATAAAAGGATTATATGATCATAATTATCCTAATATTAACTTTGCCTAAAAATCATACACCAATCTATGTTTATTAATATTATAAATGTGAAAATTTGTATGTTTGATCTTTGTTACTTGATCACGCAATAATGGGCGAAAGGACTGAATAAAATTGAAATTTTTATCAATACGAAATTAATAATAATAACTTATAAACGTGACGTAAGTTTATCAAAGTATACGTTTTCTTTAAGCAACACAAAACATATAATTATTTCCAAATAATATAAACATTGCAAAAAATATATAAAAAAATACATTTGAAATTGAAAAAAAAAATGCGACAGCGAAGTGGTACTGGAATGAAGCGTTTTTATAGCCTTTCGTTTATTTTAATACCAAAAACTAACAGTAAAAAAATATTTGTCTAACAAAAACCTTTAATTATCTACGACTATTAAATTTTCTTACAACTAGATATTGGCTAGAAGGCGTAAGAGTATTTAGAAAATACTGGTTGTTTAAGTACAAAAATTATAATAACAAATTCAACTTTGAAAAGGCCACGATATGGTCTGTATTAAACTACTCCTATAGTTTGTTTGTAGGAATGCTTTTTTTTTGGAGAAATGATATCAATTGTTAATTGATTAATTGTTAATGATATCAATTGTTAAAAATAATTGCCCTCACATTTCTTAATTCACTGGATCCTATATAGGATATTTACCCTGGGTATACACTGTTATTAAGTTTGTTCATTGAATAGTTGTTTGTTTATTGATAACAAATAACTCACTATTATACTATTTTCTATTAGAATGCCTAAAAATTTCCAGTGACAACTTTTTAGAATATTATTTCCAAAATGTATTATTATATTTCAACAAGTGTTTCTCATCATCTATTTTTAAGATTATAAACTTGAAGCATCAAATCACAAACAGGCCTAGTGTTACTTAAAAGAAATTGGTAAAACTTTTCGATTTTTTATTTGTGGATCACAACTTATTTCAGTTTCATTTGCCTCTCAACGCTTTTTTTTATATATAGCAACACAAATATAGCAAGAAATAATGACTAGTGTAGCCTGCCTGTATATATCACTGATTAGAACAAATCCAAAACAAATTTAAATGGTGTGTTCAAGGAAAATCTTGCATTTATACAAACAATAACATGAGGACTCTCGGTCTAACGAGCAACCCACAAAATGACAAATCTTTGTAACTCCATACACAACTAACAATTGGAAAATACTCTGAGTATATACTTAACACAGAATAAAACCATTTTTGGTACATTTTTAATACACCAAACCACAACCGAAACATTACTTATAGCATCAAGACATAATATATTTATGACATATATTAAACGTTAGTAAGTACCATTAGTCATTTGTAGAAATATATATTTGTTAAATTCGTTTTTGTGTTATTTATTTGAATTAAAACACTATACATACAATGCAAAATTTGCAGATACATCAGTACTCTAATGCAAATTTTATTTTTATTTTAACAATCTCACCTCATATTTCACTCTTTCACATTAAACTTAATCAATAATTAAAATATTATCAAGTATCAAAGTAAACACAATACCCGTTATAAATAATCTAATACAAAGAATCACTGACCTTTTAAAGTTTAATTTAATATTTACTTTTAATATTGATACATTTGCCTGAGTATGTCTAAATTAATAAACCAAATTATTGAAAGAAACATACAATAAAAAATACTAAAGTGTACCCTTCATAATCCCTAAACCATGGGTTTTTTTAATATGACAGTCAAATTTTGTATGTATGATACCAATATATATAGTAACAAACATTGAATAATTTAAAAACATCGATATTAAATTTTGTCATTTAATTCTTCAAAAAAAATAGAAAAAAAAAACAAAAAGGAGTTTTATTTTTTTTGTCTTACAAAGAAAAAGCGTCTTAGAATTGAAAACTAAAAACATAATATTTTTTTATTTTTAGTTATGAAACTTTCATACCAGTGTCGAGCTGTAGGAGTTGCTTCATCAGCTCATAGGTGGAGAAGGAGGTCGCGACCATCGGTATCGCTCGTATATAGTTGATGCTCATGCCTCTATACAAGCCTTTCACCACACCGTTCTCACGGTATATGAGGCTCAAAGTTTGGAACATGCCCGTACTGTAAAATTTTTATATTAATTATAATATGTTTGTGTGTAGCATGTGTAACCTATATTATGGCTTCCGAGGTCATGGACATTCGGATCGGTAGCATTACTGGTAGAGGAAGAGGTACTTAAGAAGAAATGGATGGATTGCGTGAAAGACGATATGGGTAAGAGGGGAGTGAGCGAAGAAATGGTATCATATACCAGAGGAGTATAGAAGGACAAAATATGTTGCGCCGAGCCCAGGTGACTTAGGGAAGGACAGGAGAATGATGATGACTTTTATAATCTTTGATACTAACAAATACTTTCAAGTATTTTTTAAACTTGGTTTTTCACCCTGGTATTTTTCCGTTCACGTACTTAGAAGCCCTGGTATTCAATTTTGCAAGTATGTCTCATCGCTAAAGCTTATGAAACAGATTCCGAATTGCTATTGGAGTGCATATGGACCCTTAATAAATCTACTCGAGGTTCCTGAACATATTAGGGTCCAAGGTAACGTGAAGACTGATGATTTCCAACTGATGGTACGACCTCTTGTGAGTCCGCGCGGATAGGTACCACCACCCTGCCTATTTCTGCCGTGAAGCAGTAATGCGTTTCGGTTTGAAGGTTGGGGCAGCCGTTGTAACTATACTTGAGACCTTAGAACTTATATCTCAAGGTGGGTGGCGCATTTACGTTGTAGATGTCTATGGGCTCCAGGAACCACTTAACACCAGATGGGCTGTGGGCTCGTCCACCCATCTAAGCAATAAAAATAATTTTTTTTTAGCTAAAATAGGCTTTGTCATGTCGTTTTCAACATTAACTGACCTCGTAACTGCACTCAGTTCGACTAATCAATCCACAATTGCAGGTCCATTTTGAAAATTGTCCCATTAGGAGCAATTTGCATAAAGTTAGACAGCATTTTGATGGTTTTGTAAATGTCACGAGCGTAACCGTTGGCGACATCCAACGGTTATGCTCGAGAACGCCCAGGATACTCGGAAATTGGCCATAAAATGAATTTCATAAAAGTAATTTAAAAAAAAAACTGTGGTATCGTTAGTCCACAAGTTAATAACTTAATTTTTTTATTATTATCATTTTGTAAAAAATATTTCATTTTCTCCACCTTATCCCATTAGATGGGATCAGCGCAGCTAATTTTTTTCTTCCATTCTCTTCTATCAGCCGTCATCTCAACACTCACTCCTCTCTCTCTCTCTCATATCGTCACTCTCTACATCCTTATCTTCTTCGGTCGACCTCTTCCCCCTGTACCTTGCACTACCATTTCCATACATCTCGTAGTCACATGCATCTTCTCTCTACGCATCACAAGTCCATACCGCGCTAACCGTCCGCTCTTTATTTTGTAATAAATCGAGTTTTTAAAATGAATTCAGATACTATAATATTTTAGTTTATATTTTAAGAACGGGGAAAGGATAGAATGACAGAGATGAAAACAATCCTCACTGATTATGATTATAAATATTGAGTAGAGCTGTAGAGTTCTAGTGTTAAAGTAAAATAGTTTTTGGGAATTATCATGAAACATTTTTAAACGAAGATTGACGTGAAATATTTTAATATACATATAAAAATATGAAATATTTTAATATACATATAAAAATATGAAATATTTTAATATACATATAAAAATAAATATAATAATATATTAAACAAGTAACAATAAAACGAACCTCCTGTGCAATGTTGCCAACACCACGTGCCAAATAACATGCAATAAAAAATTTCACTGTTAGTCACCATTACATAATAATAGTATGTACATTTTGTTAGTGCTGAAACGGGTAAACTATAGTCCGTCCGCCAAGAGAATATAACAGTACCAACACTAAATTTTACGTAAACATTTAGCCCAAATTCATACAATAATTTATTTCTCAACGATAAAAATTCGTTAGTTGGACAAACAGTTTTTATTTTATTGCTTAGATGTGTAGACGAGCTCACAGCCCACCTGGTGTTAAGTGGTTACTGGAGCCCATAGACATCTACGACGTAAATGCGCCACACACCTTGCAATTGTTATTTTCGACCCAAGTCTTCTCAGAAATCGATTTGGACCTGTCAGAAGCATATTCTTTCAGCGACCGGAGCAAAAGATAATAATAATAATATATTATACACAATTTAAGTATTTTAGGTACTACTACGGGTAATATTTTTAAATAATATTAAGTATCTTTTAAGTATTAAGATACCATAGTTTACTTTATAAATAAGAAATATTACAATTGTAATTACTATACCTCGAAAATCGGAGGCGAGACTAACTAGTTTTATGAAGCGATTTACATAATATTAAATATATACCTACGTTATTTTAGACATAATATTTATGTATTTACACATAAAAATAGAGGCGGTTCTTTTTTTTTTCTTAGATGGCTGAACGAGCTCATAGCCCACCTGGTGTTAAGTGGTTACTGGAGCCCATAGACATCTACGACGTAAATGCGCCACCCACCTTGAGATATCAGTTCTAAGGTCTCAGTATAGTTACAACGGCTGCCCCACCCTTCAAACCGAAACGCATCACCCGCGCGGGCTCACAAGAGGTCCTACCACCAGTAAAAATTATAATATTATCTATATTATATCTGGATTGTATTGTTTTTTTATGTAAACTTTAATTAATTAATTTCCTTTTTTCTTTGTTCGCTGTTTATTCATGTGTGATGTTGATGGTGGAAACTGGTTTGGTATTGGTTGTATTTATTTTTAGTATATTTATATATTTGTGTTGTACTGCTGGTTTCCCGCATGGTAGCAATCTCGAGAGGCTCATCGTGACCGGCAACGTGGATAGAAAAAGACCTCGAGGGCGCAACCCAATACGTTGGTCCGATCAGATCCGCACTGGTCTTGATTCCACAAACTCTCCACACCGCCAGAGACAAGAATAGACGGAGAAAGATCGTGCGTGCGAAGGTGATATAAAAGGGTGGTCACGATACTGAGCAGTGAGGAATACGACGCAACGAGGAGGTTTTCCAAATAAACTTACTGGTGGACTTCTTGTGAGTCCGCACGGGTACCGCGGCGGTCTATTTCTGCCGTGAAGCAGTAACACGATTCAATTTGAAGGGTGCGGCAGCCGTTGTAACTATACCTGAGACCTTAGAACTTATATCTCAAAGTGGATGGCGCATTTACGTTTTAGGTTCCAGTAACCATTTAACACCAGGTGAGCTGTGAGTTCGCCCACCCATCTAAGCAATAAAAAAAAATGTGTGTGTGCACAAGTCACACTCGGTAGAAGTGAATCTTATAAATAATAAATATAATCGTAAGGGCAACCACTGCGCAGTGCAATTGAGTGCCTCACCCTGGGGGAACCGCCTGCGTAATCACGGTAATCCTACGCCAGGTAAGTATGATTTAGCAAGAGAAATACGAGAACGTCTATCAACTGTGTAACATCTCGTCGCCGCGATTCAGGAATTGTTCGCTTCGGCAAGCCAATCGCGGCACACTAATTTTCGTTTCGTTTCATTTCGTTTCATCGAGTTTGAAATCACACCCAACGATTCCAAAGAAGTTTCACTACAATAATAGATATTGGTGAGCGTTCGAATCTCGAGTACATACCCAAACTTCTCCGTGGCGGGCGTCATGCAGGCGAGCTGCATGCGGCGGCGCGTGACGTCGAGCGGGTACGACACGGACTGCGCCACCGCGCCCGCCAGCCCGCCGCACACCAGCTTACCCGGCACCGTCAGCACCAGCCCGCCTACAAACGTTTATTTTATTATCAGAATTATATATGACGGAGCAGGCTGGTTCCATGGTTCTCTTCATCATTATCATTGCCTTCCATAGTGACAGTAATTAATACTCACTTTTCCAATAAATTGTATTTCAGGTGTACAACGATAATTACATATAACTGTACAAGTTGCTACTTATTTTGTATTTACTTGCATATTTTTAATATTTAAACTAAATTAAATGATTCGTGCGCCACCTCTCATACATTGATGGCACTATGGCAAAACCTTACACTTTGAGACAAGAGTTCTCAAAGGTCTCAGTTTTTACAGTACAGCAGCTGCTCAACCGTTCAAACCGAAACGCATTACTATTACACGACAGAAATAGGCAGGGCGGTGGTTCTGTAAAACCAGTAAAAAGGACTGTCTCATTTTCAATAAGGACCACAGGACCACATTTTTCTTAATATCTAGCATACACGATACGAAGATCCGTCGAGAAACTCAGTGGGCTGTTTCTATGGGTTAATTCGCTCGTAGAGCCCTTCGTTGCAAGCGACGGGTTCGACGAGGACGATGACCGGTGCTTGTGATACCTAAAAGCAGTTAGTGGATCGGGAGGATAGGAAATGACGTGTTTTGGGCCATTTTGCAAGTACCGTCGAATATTATATATAGTGCGATGCTCCAGCGCAGGTCCGTTCTCAGCGCAGGGTCGCACTCAGGCTCGCTACAAATGAAATATTAAAATATTAAAAATTAAATGGCTTTACCGGTATTGCGATCGCATTTCCTGCAGAGCTGGGTCGGTAGGTACTTCATGCAGACGTACTTGAGGGACTCGAAGCAGTAGAAGCTGAAGCCGGCGTAGGGCACCATCCCCACCATGGTCGGCACGAAGCCGCGGTACAGAGCTCGCATACCGCCCTCCTGAAGGTGGAAGGATGAAGGTTTTACATAAAATGCTAACCAAGGCTTCCTTCTCAGCTATTCAGGTAAATAATTGCCAAATTATCGTGTAAAGTTACTATAGAACTAAATTGATTTACATTTAAAAAATATTCGAAATTACCCTCTATTTGATTCTACAATACGCAACTTAGTATTTCGGTAAAATAAAGTCTTATTTCAACTGGTTCACTATAAAATAAAAACATATACAGGGTGTTCTACAACATAGAATATGATATTCATTTAAAATCAATTGTTCATTACTTTATTTGTCGCCGAAAGGGTTTTCACTGGTGTCGAAGGGGGATTTGTGAGCACGTACGGGTTGGTATGATAATCGTGCCTATTTCTGCTACGAAGCAGACATAGGTTTCGGGACGAAAAGAGAAGAGGGAGCAGCTGTTATGTAATAAAATTGATACTTCATTTATTAATCCGTCAAATCAAATGTATTAAGCACGCTCATACACATTATTCTACTCACGTTCCGAAACATGGTGAGAGCGGCGTGCACGATACCAGTGTATCTGTGTTCTCCCGTGATCTGGAAGGCTAGTCTCGCCCGGATTGTGTCTAAAGGGTACGTGAGGGTGACGGCCGTCACTCCTGCGCCGGCGCCCGCCACGAACTTATCGCCGTGCTGCACTAGAGGTATGTGGAGGCCGCTTAAATACTGAAACATGAAATATGAGGTTGAAGCTATGAGCTGTTTGGCGGCGACTGGTGTCAGTCTTTTAAAACAAAAATAATCGTTTTCTACATCATCATCAGCTTATAGTAGCACATTGCTGGACATAGACCTCTCCAATAGCTTGCCACTGCTACCCTGCACAGATAATCACTCCACCGAGCCTGAGGGTATCCTGCATTGCGTTTTCTAATTCGCGTCCTCACCCACACATGACTTTTTTCTTTAGACTTTCTACAACACTGTTTTATTCAAAAGACGCTCACAAAAATCTTAGTTGAACACCTCTGTTTCAGTTCTTTTATTATATTCTGACACTACGCGAAACGACTGAAGTTTTTTTTTTATTGCTTAGATGGGTGGACGAGCTCACAGCAAAGAGTGTTAGAGGTAAAACTGCCGAAATTCACTCCGGCGAGTGGTAGAACTATGTAAAGATATATAAATATATAATAGATATATAAATAGATATATAATTAAGATAAATAGATATATAAATAAGCGCCAACTCCCACAAAATGATTTAACACATCAGTAAAATCTACTAAGCTTTACATTAACTACCTTGATAGTCCAATCAATGATATTTATATTCGTTGCTGTCATAGAATGTAATATGACAAATCCTTGAATCGTGTTAGGGATATTTTCAAAATTAACTTTCACACACAAGCTCCGAACAACATTTGGACCATCGATCAGCCTGTGTCGTCTTCCGATACTATTAACGAAAGGACCAATAACATTAAAGACGAGATTGGCAGAAACTGGTGGGAATATTTGCAGATGGCCAAAATCCATACAAAGATAAGTGTATGTCGAATCACTCCGATAATTCCTTATATGACTCGTTTAGATCCAGAAAAGTAGAGAGGTGCCCAATGATGCCGTTATAAATGTCAGCGGCGTCATTACAAGTTCTCGTAAACGATCAATCATTTGACATACTTAATATACGTCAGGATTCCGCTAAGAAAAATCCGTTTTGTGCATGATTAATAAAACAACATATTGCAGTAGCTAATGCGTCTGTTTATAACCAGAATGCGGAACAGACGCGCCAAGTAAACTGTTTTATCTGTATCCCTATGAAATGATTAGAGTTTTGTAATTAATTATCTTTTCGCTCCGATAGCCTAGCTAATCTTTATAAACCTAATCTGTTACAATTGAATTGAACTGATCTGTTTTACAATAATGTAAAATTAAAAAAAAAGGTGGTTTATTATTATACTTTTATAGGTGTTTTGAACGATGGCTATATCGTGTCTTGTAGGTGACGTATGACGCGAAGCGCATCGCTTCGGGTGTGCCAGTTTACGGTCAGCGACCCCGTGGCGTACCCTGCTGACGTCACAAGGCTGGGTCTCAAACGAAAGCGAACCTTTTTGAATTAACAAGAGAAACGCATCTACGACCAGTAGATACTAACGGACATGTGTCGTTATGTAAACAATGAAGAAAATGGGTTAAGATTACTCCAAAATGATAATTCGAGTTCTTATGATAGCATTTAATAAAAATATATATACCTAGTAACAAAATTTCTAGTTCTTTTTTAGGATAAAGGGAATGTTCGCTAACAAATGCTCAAACGTCCTCAGAGGAGGCCAAACAACTAAAGGGCAGCTGTATCTCGAGTTTACCTACCTGCGAGAAACTCAGCAAGCTGATGCCAAGTACTTTGGTTGCTGCTAGTGCTTCGAAGTGTATTGAGACCTGATCATAAGGATTCGCGACGAACGGTCAAGGACATGTACTCCTATTTAGATTATTCATGAAAATCATTTGTACCTAGCGTCAATTCTAATCTTCGTGTATTAAGAAACAACGGTTAGATGTAAAGCAGATATATATTTGTTTTGGTTAATAGTGGAACGTGACTCGATTCAATCCTACATCTGGTTTCATGTTCATTGACTGATTATACAGGGAAATAATTATGTATCTGTTTCTAAAGTATGTGTGTATAAAATAGTTTTGTATTTACCTACATAGTGCAGAATTCCAATTGTGCAAATATTTACATTGCATTTTGCGTTTATTCATTGAGTTATTTTTAAAATTCTCGTATATTCTATACCCTGTTACGACGGTATACTGTTGGTGTTTTAGCTGTTCTTTAGAATCTTATGTGATTCCAAGGTGATACGATTTTGGCAATTGAACCATTTTACGATAAATTTGGGGTTACCCTATTTAGCCTAAAATTTCGGGAGGCTAAAATATCTGTTGAATTGTATAATAGCAAATCCATCAATTAAGTTTGCGTAATCACGACTGGTTAAATCAGCGCAGAGCGTATTGTAATCACAGACGGTTGGGCACTACCATCCTATCTGTTTCTCCCATACGGCGTTATCATTGGAAGGGTGTGATAGCTTTTACAATAAAATACACTTGGGATTTTGTCTATGGGCTCTGCTAGCAACTGAACACTAGGTCGATGGTGAGTCCGTGAACTCAGAAATAAAAGAATTTAAAAAAGTCAAATGGTTTTTCTTTTTTTCTTTTTTCCTGTCTAAGCTAAGAGTCTTGAGAGACCATTTCAACGTAGCCTTAACTAGTAGATAAGCTCACGGGGCTCAAACTAGACGACGTTGCTAGCACTAACCCCAGCAAGAGCCATGCTTTGCAGAATCTACCACTGGATCGGAAACGCGACCCACTGAGAAGATTCGGCGAGAAACTCAGTGGGCTGTGTCTGTGGGCTTATGTAATTTACTCGCCGAGCCCTTCGTCGCGAGCGACCGGCTCGACAAGAATGAAAAAATGCCTAAAAACACCGTTAGTGGATCAGGAGGATCCGAAATGACGTGTGTCAAATGGGGTAATCCAGTCCACAGAATTATAGATAGAAGCCGACAAGGGCTTTTGTTTAATTCAAATTTGATATTAAAACATTAGAATTCTGCATACTAAAAGCAATTCTTACTTTTAATTATTTTATTCAGCATAATAATTTTTAACTTGGTTCAGTTTATTTTCATTTATTTATGTTTATTATGTATGTATCTGTATATGTTTATGGGTGCAAATTATGTCTTAATGCACCTTCCCTTACTTTTTCTGCATTACGATTGCTTCACTTATAGATAATGCCTAAGCCCTAAGACATTAAATCCAGCAATGTGTACAAATATATAAACAATAAATAAATAAATTCTTTATTATGCCCAGAATACGAAGTGCAAGGGTTTGTTCATCAGATATCACAGTGTATTAGCATTATTATAATATTATAATTGAGACTAAGTATCTTGTTTTTATTTTATGCATAAAAACATGAGCCATAAGTTATAATGCCAAACAAATTCGTTTGGCATTACAATGTATATTTTTAATAATTACATACCTTTTTGTAAATTTCAAAACTTGTGAATTGAGTTGCCGCATATGGAAATATCCTGACCATCTGAGCACCATTTCCTTTGTATAATGCCAACAAAGACTCCTGTTTCACTATAGCAGTTAAACCTCCAAACACACCATGATGTTTGTAGTGGGATGACTGGGCTTGAAGAAGAATCTTGATTCTATCTAGAGGTGCTACTGTGGTCTTTGCACACATTCCTGCTACACCTAATTAAAAATAGAATAATCAAAATTAGGTGGTAAAATTTTCAAGGCATTGAGACATTTTTAAAACTGACAGACATAAGATATATCACAGACAAAAATAAATTTATAATATAAAAATGTCAAAATATTTTTGATCCATTGTAGTTCTCTAATATGAATTTCTTATTGAATCTTGTTTAGAACATATTATTTTACAACTTGCTTAAGTATTTATAATTTTTAAATTTAATACATAATTATAATTTTAATCCTAAAATTCATCAAAAGCATTATATTTCAATATTAAACCCTAAATGTTCTCAAAGTCCACTTATATGCTAAGTGGTTATCAAAGCCCATAGACATTTCAACAAACCTGTCGGCCAGTATGTAGCATTGTGTTAGTCTCAATTGTTGAATGGCTATCCAACCCATCAAACCAAAATAACACTACTCAATTGTGGTAGGAATAAACAGGATAATTCTTCTGAACTGTCCAGGTGAACAATACCCTCTACCATTGGTAGCTTTTTTATTTTTAAATGTTACCATGGACTTTAAATTCGATATTTTTAATGTTTTTCTTAATAGGGAATGGTGGAAAAAAATTTAGTGTTGATTTATCTTATGATTTTACATATTAAATTTTTAGTATTTGCCTAAACATTTAGTTTTTTTGTTGAAGTTATATTTTTATTTTAAGAAATTTTTAAGATTTAAAGTAGGTCAGTTAATCAATTTATAATTTCATAGTATATTCTTTGCATTAGTTTAAGGTATGTATCCATTTACAATAAAACACAGACATTTCTTCTTTGTGATCCATATAAACATAAGTATTAAAGGACTAAATTTCATAAATAGTTTACATTGACACAATGTTTGCACACCATTATTTTACGTTTTAGTTGCATGGTACTTAAAGTAGATATAGTACATTGTTTGTTATTTTATTTAAATTATATAATTAAAGATAACATACCTCCAGCCAGTAAGCTTTTCAGAATAAAATCAAGATCATTCTTTTGTTCCATTTTTAAAGCCATTTCCACTTATTGATACACTTTTAAAACTATAGAACCAGAACATAGATGTAAAACAGTTATGCCGCCGGAAAACTGGTGATGCATGAGCCATAAATTATTTTCTGAATATGTGGACAGTCTACGATGGTATGCGTTATGTGTCGACTTTCACCCTAGTGTTACGGAAACAAACTTTCTTCGTACGTTGACGAGTCTAAGTTTGAGCGAGCGGCCGCTTCGTTTAATTATGCGTCGACCACTGAAGACTTCTTGGTAGAGTGTAGCTCATTTATTACTTTACTCTTTGATAATAATACATTTCTTGCTCTCCACTGTTCCGTCTGAGCTTGGATGATAACATTTCTCTAATGTTTGCACTTGAAATTTTAATTCAAGTTTTGTTAAGATTCTCTAATGTAACGTTTCAAGGATTTTGGTTTTATTTCAATAAACAAACAAAAAAGGAAGTCAATTAGACTTGACTTTGACCTTGATTTTACCATTCCTTTCAACATAGACGTTTGACATTTTATACTTTTGCCTAAATCTATCACTTGTCACTTTGACACGGCGCAAAATACAAAGTAGGTAGGTACTCTGTGGTTACTTCTGTGAAGCTCAAAATCTTAATAAAATTATTTTTGGTTTGCACTTTATAGTAACTCAAAAAGTGTCTTATGATCTAACTTAAAACTCAAAAAAATTATTAAATAATATTTCCGAAGTACCCAGATTTATACCTTTTGGTATAATAGCTTATGGGCCTAATAGTGTACTACACTTTTGCTGTCAGAATGGCACTTGTGTTCTAGGTATGGAGGGTAGAGGTAAGGAGAACCGTTTCATTTGGGAGAAGCTTGAAGTGTCCCACTTTCAGCACTGAATAACAGCTCAAAAAACCTCCAGAATGGCGCTAGCATAGGCACAGGATATGATATGAATTGAGCAGTTGTTAACTGAGTGAAGTATGCTGAGTTAGGAAATTTAGTATATTTAATGACTAGAGTAGTTAGTAACAGTGTAATATACAAGACCTCACATAGTCCAAAGTTTCACGTAGTCCAAACTAATTTCGTCAATATAACCTAAAATTATTGCTGTGGTAAAACGTGGAAACATCGATTGCATTTTCTGATCAGCTTTAAATAAAATACTTTTTGTGATTTTGTAGTACTTACAACTGTAAGTCGTCCTTTTTTATTTCTCTATCTTATTCTAATAACTTTCAGCGCCTTTTTTTAAAATTTACTCGGTTGCTACTGTAGCGCCACCCTTAATTAGTAGATTTTAACGGACATTTTTTCACACACAGAGACGGTTCTCCTTACCTCTACCCTCCATAGTTCTAGGGTCTGGAGGAGGTAGTTTGAAATTAGCTGTTTATGAATGTGACGAGAAGTTTTTGGCGGGAACGCGAGGAGTGAAGTTGTGTGATTTGATTTATTTTGTCTACTTAGTGCTTCTTCAGGTTTAATTGTGTAATAACGGTGGTTTATTAATTGTTTAATATCTGTGAAAGTGCACAAATGGGGAAATTGAAATAGATCCGCTGAACGTAACTTCTCAGGAACCTCCAAAAAGTCCACTGAAAAAATCTCCGTAAATGACCACCATTTTACTGATATTATATTTCGTTCTATATCATCTCATTTAATTTAATTTCATCCCAGTTGATTAATGTCTCAAATTAAACATCTTCATTTCATTTCATTTCACTTCATATTATCATTTTTTATTAAATAAGATTATAAATTAAAATAAAACGTGACTTAAAAGTCTTATTTACCAGGTCATAAAATCCCTTATAAAAATGAATGTGACGATCGCTCATACTTTGAACAATTATTAATTCAATTTAATGGTCTCTTGAATATTTTGAAATAAACAATAAATAATAATTAGCACACCATGTTTTTTTACAATCAATTTTTTTTTGCTGATAAGATAATTCTCATTTTAAAAGCAGTTGTAATATCCGGAACAGAAAGTAAACACGACGCTTTATATATTAAGTAAATAAATAAATATTTAATTTTTTTGTTCGGCAAGCAAAAATTCTAGTGTTTTTTTTAATTTCTTAGATATTTGTTTTCTTAATTTTGAAGAACTTAAATTACTCAATAAATTGAAAACTTAAAGTTTAATTATCTGGAAAAATTACTGAATGACTTGAATATAAACAAACGTACATATTAAATTAACGGGTTCGGTTCTTCATACCTATGTTAAATTTCAATTGAATTCGACGTCTTCAAATGTCTGAAAGTCACATTTTTAAAGACGTCACGTATATTTATACATACTCGTCTTTAAATATGTATGTTTTTTTATTGTTTACTTATTGCGTAGATGGGTGGACGAGCTCACAGCACACCTGGGGTTATGTGGTAACTGGAGCCCATAGACATCTACAACGTAAATGCGCCACTCACCTTGAGATATAAGTTCTAAGGTATGGTTACAACGGCTGCTCCACCCTTCAAACCGAAACGCATTATTGCTTCACGGTAGAAATAGGCAGGGGGGTGGTACCTACCCGTGCGAACTCACAAGAGGTCCTATCACCAGTAATTACGCAAATTATAATTTTGCGGGTTTGATTTTTATTACACGATCCTTCACCGTGGAAGTCAATCGTGAACATTTGTTAAGTACGTATTTCATTAGAATAATTGATACCCGCCTGCGGGATTAGAACACCGTTGCATCGTTAGATACGAATGCACCGGACGTCTTATCCTTTAGGCCACGACGACTTGGCTAGTGAACTAGTGTTGTGGGAGTGCGAAACCCATAGACATCAATAACATAAATACGCACCTTGAAACAAGAATTCTAAGTCAGTTCTACAGTACAACGGGAGCCCCACCCTTTAAACCGGAACGCATTACGTTTAGGGTGCTGGTGGTGCTGCCCCGCTTTTGTAGCCATCAGGGATGTTTGCAGACGCGCACATAGATTGTTTTTACGCTACCATGCGTAAGAGGTATGCATCTCTGGTAAGCAGAATGAGGGCCAGCTCCAACAGTATCCTGAGCATGATTGCAAGCAGGCTGGACTGTGTATACATGGATCGCTGTGGTGCCATCTCCCACGGGATTTTACGACAGTAATTCATTGTGATGTAAATATAACTACTAACATAGGTCTAAGTCTTATTAACAATTTATATGAGTCATGGTTACTTGCAATAAAAAAAAAAGATGTGGTGTCGTGGGACACCAGCTAGGAACGAAGTTCCTTCGGCTAATGTAGAATCGACACAATTTGCAAAAAAAAAATCGTGCTCAATTTTATGTTGGTTTTCTTGATTTTTCTCTTAAATTTTGCTGATTACTTTTTATTTAAGTACAGGAAAGTATTTAGGAAATTCAGTATTTTAGGAAATAATAAATTACGTAAAATAAAAATAAAATCGTAATTCAAATTATCAATTAAAATAACAAAATATGTCTCTTTATTTTTGTTTGACAACATAAAATTACATAGAAATAGAAATAATTACAAAATAGAGAGAGAAGGGATGAGAGAACGAAAAGAAAGAGGGAGAAAGAGAAAGGTGTTATACACTACTCGCTTGTGTATACGACTGTCACGCCTGCGCACGTCTCATTTAACGGTTTTATTCCACGCACTTTTTTCCACGGATTTTTTCTTACGGTTTTACTATCACATTTTTTTCAGTTCGGTCGCGCAGCAAAATCCCTATCCTCTCCAAGCCTGCCGTAAGGAACTTCGTTCCAATAAATTACGTAAAATAAAAATAAAATTGTAATTCAAATTATCAATTAAAATAACAAAATATGTCTCTTTATTTTTGTTTGACAACATAAAATTACATAGAAATAGAAGTAATTACAAAATAGAGAGAGAAGGGATGAGAGAACGAAAAGAAAGAGGGAGAAAGAGAAAGGTATTATACACTACTCGCTTGTGTATACGACTGTCACGCCTGCGCACGTCTCATTTAACGGTTTTATTCCACGCACTTTTTTCCACGAATTTTTTCTTACGGTTTTACTATCACATTTTTTTCAGTTCGGTCGCGCAGCAAAACCCCTATCCCCTCCAAGCCTGCCGTAAGGAACTTCGTTCCAAAAACATTATTATTATTATTATTATTACTGCTTCTCGGCTAAAATATGTAGATTGGTGGTATCTAGGGGGGTCTCACAAGACGCCCTACCACAGCTAGCGTTCGTTTTTTGTTTTATTTATGTAAGTGCATAACACGAACTAAGTTTTCCAACGAGGTTTTGTAAATTTAAACATACAAACGCAGTAGTGATGTTGACGAGTCTCCAACCTACTTAATGATAGACAATCGCACCCACATATGAACGCCAGTATTGTCTACCTCTACCACTAACGAATCCTATAGAAATCGTGAATGCTCCTTAAAATAGTTTGTAAAGAGAACATCTGACACCCAATGTATTTGCTTTGCAAGCATGGAGGGGGTTTATTCATCACTCTAAAGCCGAACCGTGAGGGTTTTTGTGAATTATAAAGATGGGAACTATATTGCAATTTATAGAAGAGTAAATTTTAAACGAAATGAGTTATTAAAACTAATATGTACGAGAGGATAAAGCTCAAATTGATTATGACTTGATTCAAACATTAATTGAAGGCGAAATTATAAAGTTGTAATTAAGTTACGTGATTAAGCCTTTCGTGTACATCAGCCTTTCCCAAAGTGGGCGATAACGCACCCTTGTGGGCGCTGCAGTCCTAAAGGGGGCGGTAAGACACCCAGAAAAAAAAGAGGGCGTTGTGTAGAGGCTTGGGAGGCGATTTGTAATTTCATCTAAAAAAAAAGCTCTCGCTATAGTGGTTTTTCAATAGGTGAGAAAACTAGGGGCGCCAAAAATAATTTATTCTCCAAGTGAGCTGTAAACAAAGTAAGTTTGGGAGCCCCCGGTGTACATTATTGTACACGAGTATATCTTTGTAAGTAATAAAACTTTTCTAAACCAACGTTTTACAGCTCACGACAACAATATAGGATTATTTTATAAGAAAAATTCACGTAGATCCGAAGACCAGATAGATAACAGACATTCGAAGGGAATCAAACTCGAACTCTGGAGTACTATAATCAAGTTTATAAACAACATAACTAGCGAAGTGATCTTTGCAATATATCGTCTTCTCGCATTAAAACTGTATAATCTCAAAACTTACTATAATAATTTTACAGGTGTTTTAAAGGTTCAAAATGTGATATTTTTACTAGTAATCATCTTTGCAACGTTTTTTTTTTTTTACCAGGTACATTAACTGTCTTTTAAAGTAAGGTAAAATTATGTATTAATTTTGTTAATAGTAGTCAAAACATAGGTAAATTAAAAAAAAAATTGAAACTAAACTACGCTCTTTTGACAATATTTATTAGAAAAATACTGGTGATACCAAATGATTTCGCATATTAACAAAATTTCGAATACTTTTGGAAATTGTACACTTTTAATGCGAAATGTGCAATCCATCCATGCATTGTGAAACCTACAAGCTATATTCACGGAATTAAAAAAAAAAAGAAATACAAAGTTCCAAAATTTCAAAATTATCTTGCACCTGTTGCGACATCACGGAAAACTTTATTCGTTCTCGTTCTATCGATCTGGATTATTGAAGGTCACCTTGGAAAAGCGCGAAAGCTCGAATACTTACCAACCGGAGGACGCGCGGACGTTTCGTAATTACGACACTACATGGCACCACACACGTTGCACCCGAGAAATAATTTTTAAATGAAAATAAATACCGTAGTTCAATCACACGAATACAATTGAATACATTATAAGTTCAGCGTCTCAGCGTGGTTGTGCGTGTGACAGTCACTGACAGTTGCGTTATAGCATTCGGGAGCGTCGGTCGTCGGCATTCGTTTATTTGCCTTTCGTTTTCATTGTTTTCGAAAAAGTTAAATGAAATTTACGTGACATGGACGTGCCGGCAAAGGGAAATGTTCTGGGACGTACGTAAAAAAAAACCAAATCTATTTTTGAATAATAAAACAAAAAAAAATTATTTTTTTAGCTCTATTTTCTTAAATTTTGTTTTGTGAAATGTTTTTTTTTGTAAATCAAATATAATTGTTATTGTTTTTTAATGATTCCAACTGTAATTGAATGGTAACAATGTATTTAAAAAAAAAACAATACAAAAATAAAATTAAGGTCACTTTTGAAACGTCTGAAGTCTAAGCTCGTTCAGTAGCTTTCGTCCTTGGCTTATTGTTTGAAGGACAAGATTGAAGTCACAGCGCAGACTTTTTAAATTTTCTTACTCTTCTTTTACTTCTTTTACTCTCAAATTTTAAAAGATCGTGTGTTTCGATTTACAGCCTAACTCTGCAATCGTTTTTTGCTATTAATTTACTTATTTTTAAATTAAAATTATTTTTACGGTTTTCTTATTTAGGGACTATTTTAATTATGTCTACTGCTCGCGATAATAATAAATTTACTGCTGATTTGTGGACTCGCTAAATTTCAAAACAAGAATCAAGCGATAAAAATATAGTGTCGATGCAATAGATATTGAACACCCAAACAATGAGCAAGCAAACTTGTTCGTCAGAGGACCAAACCCGCGATCCTCGGCCCAACAGTCGGGAATGGTAAGGATCGCGCAACCGAGTCAGTCAACCTAAATAAATAATATTTAAAAAAAACTAACAAAATACGTTTTTATAGAAAATCCAACTAAAAAATTGAAAATAAATATTAATAAATTTGAAATATTGAATAAAGAAAAGTTATAACTATTTTATGAACAGATATTAGTAGAAGGGTTATTTTGATAATATCCTGAAAAGCACCCCCCGCTTTTTTACAATAAAATCATTTTTTCTTACACTATTTTTTATTCTAATTTATTAAAATTTTAAAATTTATTTTCAATTTTTTATAATGGATTTTCTATAAAATCGTATTTTGTTAGTTTTTTTAAACTATTATTTATTTTTAATTTTTTAGTTGAATTAAAAAATTTTCATCATCAATCTTTTTTTTTTAAATATTGAGTTGTCATCGGTCCTTAATAAGTAGGTATACCAAATTTCGAATTATTCCGACGTTTTTAAGGGGGTCAAAATCATGTTCAAAGATTACGTTACAAACATACATACAGTCTGAAGCTAATAAAAGTGTAAAAAAGTAGTAAATTGCATGGATTATGATAAGGGCGAATAATTAAAATATTCAAATAATATAAGCAGCTTATCAACTAAATAAAACACGTTTAAATCGAACAATCCGAGCTAACAATTAATTTCATAATATATTTTTTTATCCTGTCGATATCGATCGGGATATTAGAGCGAAATTATAAAATTATTGTATTGTCATCCTTGTATGTCCTTGATGCGTGTACCTACTAATTTTAAAGTTAATCCGTCGTCTTGAAGTCGGTGAAAATAACGAAAAAGATTCTATTATATACAAACGACCATAAATAAATAAATAAAGCGAGCTAATATATTTTTTTTTATTTTTAACAAAAATCCAACATGTCTTGTGTTTCATTACTTAAATGATGTTTCTGTTAGGATTTTTTTTTTTTTATTCATTTGCAAATTGAGAAAATTTATTTGAATTAATAATGTATATACAAATAAACTAATAAATGAATAATAATAATAATTATTTAGGTAAAGCTACTCATAAATAGAAAATACATTATAGATTAAATCAACTTCATTCGTTAAACTGTGAATGGGTCTCGCAAATATGTGATTAATAAAAATTCATAGTCACATTTGAAAAATATTTATGCAAAATCCAATATCCTTATTGATTCAGTCGTTGAATATTATTACGTGTGAATATAATACTTACATACACAAAAATTATTCATATTTCGTTAGCTGATATGTGCGTATGTTTGTATTTTCATATGGTACAATGCGTGCAATGATTCGACCACGAATATTATATATAAGTTAAGACTTAACAAGAATCTTTTTTTGTCAAGCCACTAATCCTTACTTCCCCTCCCGAAAAAACCAACGCACCGACTTTAAAAAAAAAACATCAACTTCGTTCGGTTTCCCAGAAAATAATCGAAATGAGAAATCCCTCCTTTTTTGAGGTCGATTAAAAATTAGGAAGTTATTTTTGAGTGGTGGATACTCTTTCTACCGTTCCAATATAGCACTAAAGATAAAACAGTAAAATCACTATTTGAATAATATTAAGAAGTCCGTTATTTTATCTCATTCATCACGGCTATCGAATATATATAATTCTTCTATCCGTGTGTAGGTATTTTAGTAAGCTCCTAAACGGCTGGATCGATTTTGATGTGTGTGTGTGTGTGTGTGTGTGTGTGTGTGTGCTTGTGGGTGGGTGTGTGCGTGTGTGTGTGCGTGTGCGTGTGCGTGTGCGCGTGCGTGTGCGTGTGCGTGTGCGTGTGCGTGTGCGCGTGCGTGTGCGCGTGCGTGCGCGCGTGCATGTGCGTGCGCGCGTGCATGTGCGTGCGCGCGTATGTGTGTGTGTGTGTTCCAGTCAATTTGGTGAAGGGAATTAGACTCACAATTCAGTTCACTAAAAAATTTTTTTTTATTTTATTACTTTTTGTGAAAAAGTTAGTAATTTTCGGATTTAGGACAGGACGTCTGTCAGGTCCGCTAGTAATAACATTATTTTCATTAGGTACATGAGCGGCATGATTATTTATCTATTACTGCTGATTTTTTAATTTTATCTATGCAGATATTTTAAAACAAATATTTGCTTCCGAACCCATCGCTAAATAGTTTGGTGCAAAAAATAAAATGGGTTTAGTGGTCACGATCAAATGCATCTCACATGCGAAACGTAAAAAAAACATATGTACCTGCTCATTCGAAGCATTGAGCTTTGAGCTTTATTGTCCACTATCCGAGACAAGAAAAAAAGGGACACAATGCTTTATGGTTCTTTGTATGTCTCAGTGAACAGATGAATGATTTGACCCAAACAAATATTCTGTTTTTTTGCTGAATGAGAATGGACGGGCAGTGGACGATTTTTTTCCCTACTATATCGCCGGTAGCCGGTAGCCTAAGGGCTATTTCAGCTACGCCCGGACAGGTAGGTGAGTTCACGGGCTCGACCTGACAGAATTTGATAACACTAGCCCTAGCAAGAGCAGTGCTTCGCAAAATCTACCACCGGATCGGCATCGCGACCCACTGAGAAGATCCAGCGAGAAACTCAGTGGGCTGTGTCTATGGGTTAGTTTGCTCATCGAACTCTTCGTCGCAATCGATACGTTCGACCAGTGTACTTATTGCGAGTTTTTTAAGGTTCTCTATAGCGTAAAAGTTAACGCAAATTATTATGGAGTTGGATTGTTTGCCTAATTTTGCCTATAACTTTTACGCTATCGAGGACGTTAAAAAACTCACACTAAGCACACACGATGATGACCGCCGAGTGAACGAGCATGAGTTGTGAATACAGCCCATGGACATCACAACGTGAATGCCGCCATCCGCCTTGTGAAATGAGTCTGAGTCTCAATTATATAGTATAATAGATATCCCACCGTTCAAATTTTCATAAGTGCTTCACAAGAGAAATAGAATAGCATCCACGAGTAATTACACAAGTGTTATTAATTTTGCGGCAATTTTATACTTTTACATGTGTACACGTCCTAAATACGTTTCTGCAAGCAATTGTTGTATTATTATTTAAATTTCTGTCGCTTTTCGTCGCGGATTTCGATTCGTATTTTTTGGTATCAGTTGTTAATTGTTTCATTATAAAATATTTCTGCTTCAACTAATTCCATGAAGTAAATACAAATTTTATTGTAATCTTTTCATGTTTCGTGTAGGTATTATAATAATTATTTTAACTGTTGGTATATTAGATTTATTTATCGTATTTAAACAAAAAAGTGGTCTGACTCGGTGAAAAGTGGAAATCAATTAGATTATAGTTTGGATGTTAATTAGATGGTGCGATGACCTCCGCAAGGTGGCCGGCAAGAAGTGGATGAGGAGAACGGCAGACCGGGCTCAGTGGTGTGGATTGGGAGCGACCTATATCCAGCAGTGGACGACTGTGGACTGTTGATGATGATGATGATGATGATAGTTTGGAGAGTACAATGAATGATATAGTTAGCCGGTTTCTTGTCGCAGCTTTTCTTCTAATTAGGTGGTCGTATAACGTGTCTAATTCCGAAGTAGCAGTCGAAAATGATCGGTGGTTCAATAGAGATGTTCCATTAACGTTCGTAATTATTGACAGTTCACATCCGCTGTAATAATCTGTTTGTATTTTAGAAGGTGTAACAAATAGGACAATCAATCAAGAGTGACTGGATCACGGCCATCGATATGTTTGTGTAAATAATATATTTATGTCGCGCCGCGGCGCCGGTTCGAACAATGTTCAACCACAAACGATAAGTTATTATTTAAATGGTGTCAAAGAAATAATTATGCGATAGACTTATAATAGGGTACAGCACTCTTTGTTCTTATCTACGCTGGCACAAGTTTCTTTTGCATTGAAAATCGCCTATAATATGATTTGATTAAAAACTTCGTTTAATAATATGTAGGTATATAAAGAGAAAAAAAACAATAAAAAACACGCTTAAACAGCGAACTGTATCGTACTAATAATTATTTTCAGCCTTTTTTATCCTGTTGATCAGGATATTAGTTAGAGTGAAGTTATAAAATTATTATGATCAATCCTTCAATTCATTTCAAATCTTGAATTTGGTGAAAATTACTCTCAAAGATTACGTTACGTACTAATACTTAGCAAACTAATAACACCATAAAAACAAACTTAAACAAAAAAGTCGCCGTGGCCTAAAGGATAAGACGTCCGGTGCATTCGTATCTAGCGATGCAACGGTGTTCGAATCCCGCAGGCGGGTACCAATTTTTCTAATGAAATACGTACTTAACAAATGTTCATGATTGACTTCCACGGTGAAGGAATAACATCGTGTAATAAAAATCAA